TAATTTATAATTCATTATTTTAGTTAAAAATTAATAAAATAAATATGTGCTTGATAGTTTAACATTTTGAACAAACAAATGCAACATTTAAATATTATACCACAAATACATAACAACCATTGTATATATAGTACTATATTTATATAATAACAATAAATTGTTATTAGGTATTGAACTTATAGTACATTTCAATCAAATCAAAAGTAGATTCATTTTAAAATCATCGCTCAATTGAATGGCCAAAAAATGTTTTATTTGTATAATAAAAATATATTGAATTAATATAATACAATATACAGGTATAATGAAATATATTTTGTTAAATATAATACTTAAATGTTATATTACTGTATATTAGTATTGCTTGCGCTCACCTGTCAAATCATACAATATATTATATATACAGTATATATAGAGCACTGGATAAGGGAATATCCCTTAAATAAAGTGAACTTAAAAGTGATGACAAATCTAAATAATATTGTTGTCGACAATCTTCACATAAATATAAAACTCAAACTTTTATTGTAGTTTATATTGAATGGTAAGGCATTATAATAATGGAGCGAACGTTTGCCAAAAGCGGATCCCTTACATACATATCATTATTATGGGAATTACCTTATATTCTCTCTCTTTTTTTCTTTCTCTCTCCGGTTCTCTCACTTTAGTATAAATTGTTTGCAAGTTTGGGGCCAATCATTGTATTGAATATTTATTTTTATTATCATAATGCTTATTCAAAATACTAACCAAAGCAATACATGCAAAACATGTATATTTAGCATTATTTAGTGGTACTGTATTTAAAGACAAACTATGATATGCCAACAAAAACACGCACACATATAGTATGTACTTTATATATATAAATATATTATGTATTACAGACTATTTTGTCAAAAACTATTCTTTAGATTCAAATATTTAGTATTGAAATAGTCGACTATTATTTGGATGATTTAACAATTATAATAATATTAAAATTGTAATTATAATAATACAGTAAATACTGTACAAACAATTTAATTATTCACAAACTCACAGCATTAAATCAAAGACCATCTATTAATGCTTAATATAACAATTTATAAAAAATGAAATAATTAATTAATATAATAAAAAATATGATATACCTATAAGTTATTATAATATGTGTATTCTTTACCGGTATAAACAATTTAATAACAAATAATCAATTGTCTGATAAAAATAAATTTTTAAAAAATAGTTATAACTGCTTAAAAATATGAGATTTAATTAAATTTATATTCTATGGTCTCTATTACAAATATGTGTTCACACAATGTTATTGCAATCAATGTTATTGTAATTATGTTTAGAAATTAAATAGTAAGATATTAAATAGTTGTTATACGGTATAACTTATATCTATATATTGTACATACAGTATATAATATACTGCATCAGTGAATTGCTATTAAATTGATAAATATATCCAACACTTTAAAATATTTGGCTTTATTGAACTGTTAGTGAAGTGAAGTATACATTAATATTGGTATTGAATGATAAACGCCTAATAAATGGTCGACCAAATCATTTAAATATATGCATCAATACAGTGACAATAGTAGGACCTTAAAGACCTCACAACTGCTACTGTTAGCGGCTTTGCTTTCATCTCAATGTATATTATTGTCGTATAATGAATGCAATGGGAAATATTGGTCGGGAAAAGGACAGGCAGTTAGACCCTCAACGATATGCAGTTTATAAATATTAGGACTCATAGACCGCTAACATAATATCGTTGTTCACTATTTATTGTAAGCTTTTCATAAACTTATTAAGAGAGTCTCAAATAGTAGGGAACCGGTGTTTGTGTCCACTGCTTAAGACATCACTAATAGAGTCGACAAAATTTATTCAACTGTTCCACACATTTGGCATATCTTAACAACAGAAATATACCCATTGCTTATCCATATTCAATGGCTCTATTAGTGAACTACTAAACCATACAATTAGTAATATCCTTAAAATACAACAAATTAGGGATCGACTAAATCTTAAAAGTACAGCTCATATATTATTATTATTACTATTATTATAATTACTACTTCTATTACTATATCTTTACTACTATTAAACTTATAATTCTAATTCACAATATAACCAGTTATTTGTAAATAATAATAATAATAATAATAATAATAATAATTATTATTATTATTATTATTATTATACACTATTAATATACTGTTAAGTATGTGAAATGAAATAATTAAAATATATTATTTAATATTTAAATGTGTGTTTCAATTAAACATATCTGTGAGGGATTTTCGAGTTTAGAGATGTGACTCAAACTTTATATTAAAATAATATTAAATTCATTTAATATTAATTGACTAAAATGATCGATATTTTTGATTATAAAATAAAGAGCACTACTTTAATATTTCTAATAATATAATGATAATAATAGTGATAAAAATATAAATATTTTCACTAATGATGTGCGGAATGTTTAGAAAGCGTTTATATAAAAATATATTGATATATAAGTAGTTTAGACAACAGGCTTACGCCTACCACCAGAAGCTGAACGGAATTTTTCAATAACGGCTCTCACACTCTATGTATGACTACTATTAAAAGGGACGGTAGGGATGGCTGGAGTGTTGGGAACATATAGACGGCTAATAAAAACGATAGGAATTTCCATCATTTGATCGTTGATTTTAAGGGACTATTGCTTTGAAAACAATATTTTGTCAGTCAATTCATCAAATTATTTGGTGAGACAAACGACACACCATTTAATAGCATATTATTATTATTATTATTAGTATTTTTATATCATATGACAAATATATCATTCATATAATAATAATACTAGAGTTATCAATAAATAGTGTATAAAAATAAAAAATAATATGAAATCCCAGAACTAAAAGCTAAATAGAAAAATATTTTGATTGGCTTTCGTGTCGATCTCAATACCAACACTTCTCTCTCTCTCTCTCTCTCTCTCTCTCTCTCTCTCTCACTCACTCACTCTTTGATTGTCTGCCATCACTTGTGGGACTTGTAGTTTGACTTGTTTTGCTTCTGTATGTACAGTACTCTACTCTATGTAATGTATAGTATATGTACAGTATGTTTGTGCCGATAATGTTGTTGATGTAGGAGAGGTTGAGAGTCTCACTCACTTTATTTGAGATAATATAAGCACTCAAATACTTGAAATATGCCAACACTTCCAATGTATTTAATAAATAGTATTAATATATACTTAAATATATTATTTATTTATAAATCTATTCATAACAACATTTACTTTAAATATGAATTATATAAAAAATGATAAAATTTATCTCTAAGGATGTGCCGTTAGTTAATGATAAACAGTTATTTTGTTGTATAACTTAACATTTCCTCTTAAAGATAGTACAGTAAAAAATGATAATAAAATTAATACAAATTAAACAATTAGTGACCAAATATATTATTAGTCAAATAATTAACACGAGTTTATTACAAAAAAAATTGTATATTTAAAATTATAAAATAATTAATTGAGAAAATACGTGACAAACTAACTATTTATTTAGTAATCGATACAAATATTAAGTCCTATAAGTTTTTAATCTTATTAAACATTAATAACCACTTTATGAAATATATGACATGTTTATGAAAATAAGGCAAACACTGGTTTCCCGTCTAATGAAATCTCAATCAAAACAATAAAATCAATCGTTGATCGGTATTCATAGGATTCTCAGTTATTAACAATACATACCGTTTGTATAAAGCATTTATTATTAAATTTTAAATTATTAAAAACTATATATTATTATTTAATTATTATATTTATCGTAATAGTAATAAAATTTGATTGTCAATCTGAAAAATGTTTAATTCAATATGAATTAGTAATAAAAATCATAAAACTAATTAATGATTTGTGATATTCTCATTATGAGAATCTCATATATGCTGACAACATATAGATTGGCCACATATGAGGGTCAGGTGTTTTAATGGTCAAAGTTATCGTTTATTACTATACTGTTATACTATAGTCTATACTCACTATACCCACTATACCCACTATAGTGACTATAAAAATATACAGTATAATACTAACAATTGGCAAAACTTGTCAAATATTGCCGTATAATATCAATTTCATATATCAATAGTTTGTCATAAATCTAAATATCAAATACTGTTTGATAGCATTTGGTATTTACGGCTTAATAAGTCTAAGAGTAATAATACAATACTTTAGTTTTATTATTATATAATTTATGTTTTATTAATAAATAGTACAAATCAGTAGATTCTGTATAAAGTAATTATTATACATAGGGTTAGATTAAGTTTGATCCATCATTTTATTATCAAAATAATCCTTATTTTCCCTGTCTTTGGGAATATTTTGAATGGTATTTATAAAAAAATCACTAAATTTATTAAAATTTAATTTCTAAATTAATTTTTAATATTTCTATGAAACCTTATGGAAATTATTAAGTTTTGGTACTATTTATTATAATAATATAAAATATATTTTCCTTTCTAAAGCTGCGTTCATATGATTGCTTGCTTAAGTAGACTCGACTTAAAGTTAAGTGAAGTTTCATAGAGGCATACAATGGAAGAAAAATAAAATATTTTCCGTAAAAATTGGATGGATTTTATTGGGGAACTTCCCTCCTTTGGAAAGTTACCCGAACTCTAATTATAAAGTAAATAAAACAGTTTATATTGAATGCTGTAATGCAAGCAATAGCCACATCTATTGGCATACAATTGAATAAAACATTTTAAGACATCAATTGCTATAAATATCAATACAACATATTTTGTATTATAATTTATAATATGATATTAAGTATTAATAAATATATTAAAAACAAGTTTTAAGTAGTGATATAAACATGTGATAAATGTTTTAGTTTTGTATAGAAATGCACTCTTAATTGACTGACAAAGACATTGAAGACACGATTACATACAAAGAGATGATATTTTTGAAGACATTGACAACTCATAGCAGATATGGTCTTAAACTCTGTACTTTCAAATCTATTCAAGTGATCTCACGATATGAAAGCAGCGGACAATCAATTATTAACGACTCGTTTGTTCACCGATTATCACTAAAGACGTGCCAAAGTCTGTATGATAGTAAATATGGACGTAATAAGTGGTATTTGAGAGGATCACCTAAATCTGGTCTCAATGTAAATGTCGAGTACGTGGACACCAAACCCAATGATCGCACTGGAAGTGCAACTCTGGTTGCACTTCATGGTTGTCCCGGCAGTTATATAGACTACACTAAACTTATTGAAAACTTTGGACAACATTACAGAGTAATTATTCCCAATTTTCCCGATTTTTCGCTAACCAACGAAACCAATCATTTCTGGCATTCAGGCGAAGAAAAATCAGTATTTGTGACGGATTTCTTGCAGAAGTTAAATGTCCAGCAAATAGATTGTCTTATATGTCACTCTTCGTCAATATTTGCCGCATCTTATCTGTGGTCAAAAGATAATCAATATTTCAATCAAATAGATATAAAAACATTATGTCTTTTGTCAAATCCCGGTCCGAAGTGGTTCACAATAAAGGGTCGATTGGTTTCCATGTTTTTCACTCATTTATCGCGTTTACGACTTATTAGACAATATTTAAGAAGTATTTGGTCGCGAAAAATGACAAAACGTTTGGGTTTTAGTAATCAAATTGAAGACTACGATCGCTTAGCTCTTCTTTTATCGACTTATTATTTGTCTCAAACACAAACTGTCACTAAAAGACTTAAAAAATTAATTGAATTGAAAATTCCGACACTTTTTATCTTTAGTTCAAAAGACAAACTTTTTAATAAAGAAATATTTTATAATTTATTTGGAATTTTAGAGACCGATGGAAATGACTTTGATATCTATGAAGAACATCAAAATATTTTAATTCAAAAGGCAAGAGAAGACAATTGGATTAAAGTTATTGACATTAGAAGTGGTGGTCATTACGTGTTTGTCACTCACCATAAGTTAGTCCATCAATATATTGAACAACTACTTGAAAAAGTTAAATAACTGTTGATTTAAATATAAATATTAGAAAAATTAGTGTTTTTTGGTATTACAAACTGATATTTCGTATTTATTATGCAAATTGTTATAATATTATTGATTAAAAATAATGTATCAGTAATTTGTGTACACATTATGTAGCCTTACTATAATACAGATAGAGTTTACAATTAGAGTGACCAATGTTTTGAGTTACCCCTAAATTAATGTATATTCAATATATTTTAATTGTAAATTTAAATAAAAATTATATTAAATCTATTGACACCACTATTTGATTTCGATGACAACTAAATCTCATTTACATAAATAATAATTGTTTTATATTTAAAAAATACTGTACAGTATATGATATGTTACTTTAAAAATTAGTTTAATGTTAGTTAAATTATTGTTATATAGATATTACATATTTAATTATATAATATTTTGTTATCAATAGTGGATTACAAATGTTTGCATAGATTTATTTGTTGATTACTTATATAATATTACTTTACATTACATTACTATATGTACTATAAATTTACACTGAAATGCACTCCAAAAGCACTTGCAATCACTGATATTATGTACAGTATATTAGATATTGCAAATTAAAGCCATTTTCACAAATGGTTTTAAGGAGAACCGAACCGTATTTTGTTATTACCGGTATATTAACAATAAATTTAATATTCATATACTAAATAAAATAGATTTAATACCGTATTACTTAATACAGTTACATAATATTGTGTTTAATAAAATACAAAATATATTGTAGTAATATTAGCAAACAATACGTAATATGAATTTTTTAAGACCTAAACCGTTAATAACTGATATAAACTAAAAGCGAAACACTTTTATTATGAAAAAACCGAACCATTTTTGGTTACAAACTCTAACAAACATAACGCCGGTTAACACAAGAGTGTGCTATCAATAGTATGAATGGTATGAATGAGTGCACGGATTGGTTGTCAATATGTATGACGTTTGAGGCGTTTAATGTTTGACAGTGTGTGTACTGTATGTGTAGTACTGTATGTGCCGTATATTATAGTGAGTATACAGTTGTCTAACAATCCATACATTGATTATATCATCGAAACAATGGTTCACAAAGTGTCGGATAAGGTATGTATTAATATTAAGGACAGTATTATACTATTGCTGACCATATTATTAATGTATGTCTGAATTTAGGCTGATTTTGACAGTCAGTTGTCAACTGCTGGCACTAAACTAGTTGTGGTTGACTTTTTCGCCACGTGGTGCGGACCGTGCAAAATGATTAGTCCTATACTCGACAAACTCAGTCAAGATATGGCCGCAGATGTGCTCTTCATTAAGGTTGATGTCGATGAAAATGAGGTACAATTGTTACAATAGTTATTGAAAATATAAATATTTATTGATTACCACTAAAATTGTTTGGTTTACTAATTCAATACATGATTTTTATGGCAATTGTATGTATTTGTTGTTTAATACAGTACTGTATTATTAACTAACCAAACAATCATAATATGAATTGTATTTTTACATAAAAATGAAGTGTTGGGTCTGTTTAGTGGTAAACCCTAAGAATATAATATATATATTAATTGACACTTACTATTGATTAGGACATTGCAATCGATAATAAGGTGACAGTTATGCCGACATTTGTTTTCTTCAAGAATGGCCAGAAAGTGGACGAGTTTTCGGGCGCTAATGAAAATAAACTGAAAGAACTGATAGCTAAACACAAGTAATTTAATTGTAATGATGTCTTCAATTGACTCATTAATTAGCAATTTTTGAATTTTTAAGTTAATGCTATTTGAAAATTAATTGCTTTTTATATAAAATCACTGTTATTTAGATTTATTTAAAAGAAAATTATTTTTTATATTGAAGTATATTTAAAGTTTAGGGAAAGCTTTCTTTATTAATTAAATTGAAGAAACAGTAAATGCTTAATAATTACGTAAAAATTTTAATTATTAATTTCCAATCTGTAATATGATCTCAATTTAATACTAATTAATTTTTAGTTAATGATATAAATTAGTTTATTTAATTAAAAATTTTTAATTTTATTCTATTAGATAGTTTGGTTAAATAAAATTTTGAAAAAATTTCAGATTTTTTTTTTAGTTAACACATTATTAAAATATGTATTAAATTTTTTATTTAAATAAAGTCTATCTTTTCAATGTTTTGTGTTGTGGTTTAATATTAATGTAGTTTCTATGGATTTATTACATTTTAGTTTATATGAGTACCGGTAATAAAGTATATACTGTGTATAATACCGTACATACGGTACTTGTTTTATATAATATATTAATATCTGTTATATTTCTATAAAAAGACTAAATATTCATTTGCAAAATAATTATTGTTTTGTTTTTTATTATATTTATTTTAAATTATTAGTTTTTTAAAGAGTTAAATTTAACATTATATAAATAACATTGTTTATGGGATATATAATCAGATCTTTGAAAACTTTAATAAAATAATTTATTAACAGATGTGAAGTCGTTTTAGATAATGAAATATTTTTTAATTAAAATATTTCTGATTTTTAAGTAATTAATGTAATTTTTAAAACATAAAAAGATAAACTTTTAAAGTTAAAAGTTTAAACTTTATTTTTGTAAAAAGATATTAAAGGTTTTTGAAAGGTATCTTGGTCAAAATTTTTTTATAATTTATTCAGTATAACTGTACCAAATCAATGAATAACCTTGAATATTATATTAAAATGTTTGATTATATACTGAAATTTCATTTATTGTAGACATTGAATGACAACACGTATATAACTTATATAATATATAATATAAGTTTATTCAATATTCAATATTATAATCAATATATGAATGATTACATATTTGTTGATTTATCGACAGTATAACATTTATTTGATTATAATAATAAAATGTTTTAGCTTTAATACAATAATTAATAATATTAATTACTTACTAATCTATTAACCAATATATTAATTACTAGATTTCAAATGTGTAATGTAACTGAATTTAATCATTATATATTATGCTTATATAAAATATCATATTAGATAATATGATAAATAAATTTTATATTATGTCCACAATTTTATTTAATTTATATTTAATCTATATAAAAGTAAAATGAAAAAGTTACATATGGTAATATAAAAATAATTGACTGATCAAAATTATTTGAGCATTTTTATCATTTTCTATAATAATTAACACCATTTAATGCATTGTTTAATGTTTTTAATTTAAATATTTTTGTTAACATTATAAAAATTAATTTTGTTTTACTTAATGAAGAATATTTATAATATAAACATAAAGTACAATAAATAGGTTACAAGTATTACTGTATAATAAATAGATTGCATCAAACTTGTAGTGAAGGTTTTTATCTATATTTTGTTATTTCCTATGTTATGCAGCGCTTAAATTTAATATTCATTACTAATAATACTGTATAGGCTATTAAATGTAAATGAAAAATATATAAAAGTAATAAATTCATACAAATACAGTATACGTAATAAACTTAACTGTATATAATAGGCGATGGCAGGAAAAGCTTACTTTTTAAAATACAGTATTAGATAACATAGTTTATTAAACATTATAAAAATGATCATGCACATATAAACTATTACTAATTAATGTTTATTTTTACTGTATTTTAATATACGGTATATTAAAATTTGTTGTATTATAAGTTAGTATAAATTATTTTGTGTAAATTTTGAAAATAATAACGTAAATATACAGTAATACTGTAATTTATATAACATAAACTAATTTATTGTAAAAATAGTTACTGTATTGTTTAATATACAAAATATAAATGATAACTAGATTCATGAAATATGATTTAAAATACATATTATCAATGGATAACCATTAGACAACAAATACTGTATATATTAATATAAATTATGTTTTATTCGTCTATTAAAATAAGTAAAGTTATATATTATATGTAAAATTATTTTCAAATATTTTAAAAAGAAATGTTAAATATTTGTTGAATTAATATTAGAAGTCGTATTCAAACAATTGGTTTACAGATTATTATGAAAGCAGTCTCTGTTTGTCTCATATTTCTTACAATTTTTGTACATTTAATTGCTTGTAGTTTCTAATTGTGTTATCTTTGACTTCATAACTTCAGTTTTTACAATTGTCTTATAATAATAATAATGATAATCATTATTTAATAAAAATGCAAAAAATAGATAACAAAGTTGTACAGTATTTATAATAATACTAATCTTTGTTCATAACTTAAGTTTATTTTTTCACAATTATAACAAATATTTTTAGCGATGCATTTTTGAATATTTTGAATATTATCAAAATTTGTTTTGTTTAAAACCAAATATTTTGATGAATACTTTATTATGAGTAATAATATACAGTATAATACTGTATATGCAAAAAACATACTTTAATAATAAGTAAACTGTTACTAAATACACACTTAAATATTTTTATAGATAAAATATAGCAAAAAATGAACTAAATATTTATCGGAATTATATAAAAAGATTAACATGGCAAATTTAAAAATACATATTTATATAAATTATAATAACATATTTTTAGATTTTGCACATAACTCTTTACTTTAAATATGTTATACTGTATTAGCTTTATTGAATTACAATATTAATTAAAATTATTAAAAATTTTAATCATATATATTAAACATATATTTTAACAATATATATATTATATCACATATAAAGTTGTGATATACACATGATATACACATACAAATGCATTATATTTAATATATTAACAAATTGATATTTTGTCATTTGATTTGTAATTATATTATATATTGTATTATATATTGACAACAAATTACTCTTTAGACAAAACATTGGATCTATTGATTTAACGAAGAATGAAGTAACAAAAATAGCCACAATTTGTATCAATAATTATAACAAACGAAATGCAATGAGTGTTTCAATGATCAAACAATTTGATGAAGTGATCACAGAATTGCAAGAATGGTATTCTGTAAGTTAGTTATGGAGTAAATGATTAAAGAATTGAATGAAATTTACATTTTAGGGAAAATTTATTATAATTATTGGCAAAAATGGTTTTTTCTGTTCGGGAGCCGACTTGGATTTTGTCAGAAATAATTGTCAAAATTTTGATTCTGGATATCAATATTCAACATCAATGCACTCACTTCTTGCACGCCTTCAATCACTACCACTGCTAACTGTGGCTGCAATTGATGGACAAGCATTAGGTGGTGGCGCAGAAATTGCCACCGCATGTGATATACGAGTTATGACCAGAAATGCTAAAATCGGTTTTATTCACATATTAGTTGGTGTGACTACCGGTTGGAGTGGAGGCACACGATTAACACGTTTGCTGGGATGTCATAAAGCATTAGATCTAATGATGTCGGGAAAGGTATTATCCGCTGAACAAGCATTTGATTTGGGACTTAGTAATCATATTTTTAATAATATTCACTCTAACGAGCAGTTTATTGAGCAAATTGCTAAATGGCTTAATAATGATCTTAATATCAATGATAGAAATAATGTGATTAAAATTAAACAACAATTATATTAAAAATGGTATTAAATATTTTTAATTATTATTGTTTATTTAATGACATTTAAGTAAAATTAAAATTTAATTCTAACACAACGATAATTATTTTATGTTATATTTTTTATTTAACAATTTTATAATAATAATATGATATTTACAAATATAAAAATATTAATTTTATAATACATTTATGAAAAATTATTTTTATATTTTTTAATTATTGAGTTATTGTACAATCAATTGTGATAATATAACTGATGATTGTGTATATTTCAAATCAAATATAGTGATTTACATTATTAATAAAGTTTATATATAATAATTAAATTTTTGTTATGATTATTAAACTCTCAGTTTGGCCAAAATCGGAGGTACTCTTTTAAATTTCTTAAAATTATAAACGCAACTAAATATGAAATTTATATTTATTAATCTTTTTTAAAACTGATATTTAATTACAATTAATGTAAGCACAAAATAATCACTATTTTGCAACATTGCAATATAATATTAATGTGAAAAGTTAATTTAGCAAATAAAAAATTTTAGTTTAATGCAAACTATATAATATAATATTATTTTTAATTAAATAATTAATTAGATATTATACTTTATATTTGTTTTACTTTTAACTATTATTGTTTGTTTTTATAATTATTTTTAAAGACATTATTTTCATCAAATAGTTTATTTCATTCAATTTATAGAGAGTTTGCGCCGAATTGTTGTAAAAGCCGAGCGATCGATATCTTCATGTATTATACTATCAATGTTTGTGTCTCTTCTCCAAAATGTCAGTATTGTAGTCATTGAACACAATATTTTTATACAAAATTAATTTACGGTTAAATATTTAAATAAATCATTGGTTTTTATATAAATTAATAAATGGAGGATAAATCAAAAATAAGATTAACTAATGGAGTTTATATGCCTTTGGTTGGGTTAGGTATTTCGATATTTTTTACAATTTTAATATTTATTAAATTTTTATTTGCATTTCAATTTAATTTTTATAAAATTAGCTAAATTTTAGTAATCTATTTTATTTATTATAATTCTTTTTGTAATAATTAACATAATTTAATAAAATATTCATATGTAATTTAATTATACAGTATTTATATCTATCTATATAATTAAATTATATGTAAATTTATTATATTGTTTATCTATTATAGTAATTTCTATATATATATAATTGTAATTTGCAATATTTTAGTATCTGTATAAAAATAAAAGCTATGATATTGTATTGACCTTCAAATTCTTAATGAGCGCATAATTTTAGACAATATTGTGTTTAATGTTAATTTTTTTATTTTAAAAATAATTATTAATATTATCCGTATTATACAATACATATAAAATAAGTATACGTTTATAAAATTTATAGGTACGAGTCATAGCGGGGGATATTCTCATCGGGCAGTAGTCTATGCCTTAAAAGATGTCGGTTATCGGCTTATAGATACAGCCAAAAGATACGGAACCGAAAGTTTTATACCTCAAGCTATTGATGTATGAATTAATAATAATATTGTATTTTTAAGTTAACAAAAAAAAGTTTTTTTAGGAGAGTTGTGTTCCGAGAGAAGATATATTTGTATCAACAAAATTATGGCCAACAGATTATGGATTTGAATCGACTAAAACTGCATTTAAAGGATCACTCAATAGATTAGGCGTTGACTACATTGACTTATTTTTGATACATTGGCCCGAAGTATCTTCAAAATGTAGTGATAAATGGGGAACTTTAGTCGAGACGTGGCGTTCAATTGAAACCTTATATGACTCGGGTCTCTGTCGGGCTATAGGTGTCAGTAATTATGGAATTGAAGAATTTGAGAAACTTTTACCGGAAAGTAGTATAACTCCTCATATAAATCAAATAGAGTTTCATCCCTTTCACAATCCCAATGATTTGAAACAGTATTGTGACGATAATAAGATACAGATTCAGGGCTACTCTCCATTAGGTGAGGGCTATCTCGTCAACGAACAGATTATCAAAGAGATGGCATACAATCATAAGCGAACAGCGGCTCAGGTATTGATTCGGTGGTCAATTCAAAACTCTGTCCCAACTATTCCTAAGTCTACTAAAGAGAACAGAGTTAAAGAAAATTTTAATGTATTTGACTTTCAATTAAATGACAACGAAATGAGTCTATTAAATGGCTTACATGAAGGTCGCAAATATATTGATAGCTCTAAGATTAAGGACAAAATTGATGAACAATTGCCCGATGGATACAAATTAGACATACATTTAAATGAAATGACTAATAGCTCACAAAATAACAGACAACAGTCATAAATATTGTAAAACAATATTATATTTTATCTAATATTTAATCTAATGTAATGTATATTTAGTTTTGATTTTAATTAGAGAAAATTTCACTGATTCAAAAATAATTATCACAATATAAATGTGAAATACTATTTTTAATTAACTATATATATAATTTATATACAGTATCACACTATTTCATTAAAAAATTATTTAATCAAAAATAAATATCAATAATAATATTTATTTTAAATAAAGTATTCTTATATTTTTATTAATTTAACATTTTATTATAATGTATAATTAATACAAAATAATTAATTAATTAATAGTATATTATTAATAGAAATACAATGAAATTATTTATAATAAATCGAGAATAATAAAATTTTTATATAACAATAAATAATTTGTATAAAAATTACTTTATATTAGTAATATGATATGATTTCATTTTTTAATTAAATGCTTTATATTTTACATAAAAATAAAATAACTGAGAGCACCAATTATTATTATTAAGTTAATTATATATCTAAATGCAAATATTTGAATAAATTTATAGCTTATAGACTTTATTTTCATAATTGGAATGCAAATAATTCAATAAATATACAATATATATATAAATTTTTATTTGTAATGTTATTTTAAAATAATATTTGTATATTATATATATATATCAGAGATACAGTATTAAATAAGCAAACTTATTATACAGTATTATTAATCATAATATTACTATAATTAAAGTTTTAAATTAATTTTAAATATTCTCTATTTTATTAATTAAAAAAATATATTTTTAATGTTTATATTACATTTGAGAAACTAACCTTTACAGATTATCTAAATAAATAAGTTTAAAGTTTATCAATTAATTGATAATATTGAAAAAACATTGTATTATAAAGAGAATCCATTAAATAATTTCCCAAAATGTAACGTAAATTGTAAAGATATTGTCATTTAAAAAATTGTTAAAACCTCAATTAATTACTTAATTTTAATTAAATTTATGATAAAATATAATAACTCTTAATATGAATTTGTCGATGAATATCTGTTTTTTAGTTCAACAAATTGTTAGAAAACTGTTTATTTATTTAAAATTGAAAAAAGGATTAAAAAAATTTAGTACAATAATTAAAATTATCATATTTTATAAAAACTAAATTAGTTTTGAAAATATTCTACAGAATGACCAATCATTAGTAATTTAGCTAAAATGTGATTATCATTAATAGAGCATTTAATCATTAATAAAAAATTATAAAGTAATATATCCTCGTAAAACTTTTTATTATTTAATAAAATATATTGTATTTTATTTAACTTTACAAAAACATTTAAAGAAAATCAGTTAAAATTATAAAATTAATATTTGTGTTTTCATTAATTTACTAAAGTAATAATTTGAGATCCTATTTAGCTAAAATGGTAATTTTGTTTTAGTTTATATTTAAAAGTTATTGTTATTTAAAACTACAATTACAGATATATCAATGATTTTATCGCTTTGTTTCCACGGAACCACTTAAAAATAATTATTAAAAATTTAAATATTAAATGGTCTAATATTGTCAAACAAGATGGCAATTGCATCACAATTCAATAACTTTTAGTTTTTATAAAATTAATAAAATAAGTAAATTTTAATTTTGAGAAATAAATTTATGGATTCCCTTAAATTATAACAAAACTATTTTTAATCTTAGAATTAAATTCAATTAAAAATCGTATTATGAAATGTAATTACATAAATAAAAAATTTAAGACTAGTTTAATGAAACAATTTAAAGATAATATGTTAAAAATTATGTCATAATTTAAAGTAGATTATAGTTTTTGCAACGTTAATTGCTTTATAGTTAAACTTTAGTTTGTTATTACAAATTATTATAAATATATTTTTTAACTAAGTTTTGTCAGTAATAATGTTGTGAATAGCTTTATAATGCATATTTAAAAAACAGTATTAATATTGTACTGTATTATATGCAAATCAATGGCAGAAATAAGTTTTAAAAATTATATATTTTAATGTAATGTATTGCGTTATAATATATTAAAAATTTAATTTAATTCTGTCATTGAAATGTATATTTTGTAAATTATTATTATATAATTCTGTAACTTATATTCTATACATTACAGAATACACAATTTAAGTCTCTTTTATATTATTTGCACATTATTTAACTAATTTTAGTTTTAAAAAATAAAAAAAATATTTTAATAAATTATATTTAATTTTAGTAATTTTTTAATAAAATATAGTTATATAACAGGTAGACATCAAAATAATGAGAATATTAATAAAATTAATTATATTACTAATATTATATGATTTATTATTCAGAGTATTCTAATAAATTAATTTATCCTAAACTAATGTGTATCCTATTAAATATTTATTATTTGAATTATCAATAATTATTTTAATAAATTTTAATTTAAATAATTAAAGTAAGATTAATTTTTAGCGTTATTGTAGAAAATTCCAAATTATTTAAGTATAGTTTGTTATATTATAGTTTATTTTAAATAATCTCTGTTTTAAATATATAATATTGTATTTGATACTGTATATGTTTAGCACAATTATTATTATTTTTATTAAATTATGAATTAAATGATATTTATTAATTACTTTATCACAAGATTATAAAAATGTTAAAATTTTATAATAAATGTAAATTTAAAATTCAATGTTAAGACCACAAATTCAAAATAATTAAATTATATATTAATTATGTTTTAAATCTAAAAGAACTTATAATTATTGTACTATTATAGGAAAGTAGTATTATGCAATAATACCAACAAAATTGACTTAAAATTTAATTATAACTTATTAATAATATATATATATATAAATATAATTTAAACTTTAAATTATTATTTCTACTAATTGTGCAAATATTAATTTAAATATGCTTATCTTAATAATATAAAGTAAACAACATTTAATAAAATTAAGTATCTATTGATAACAATAATTAAAATATTGCATATACAGTATAAGAAAAATAAGTTAGTTGTACAGTATATTACAAATAATTAACGATAATAACTATAAAAAATATATAAATTAAATTAACACATAAATTATTAATATAATTTAATTACTACTAATATTATCTAAATATAACAGCAATTGTTAGATATTATTATTATTATTAAGTTTTGGAGAATTTAAAGCGTTTGATTCGTCATTACTTATAAAAAGATTTTCGTGAAAATGTATCTCATTTTGATCCACTGCTGAAGGACTGGAAGATTGTGATGTCTTCTTCAGAATACTCCTAAGTCTTCCCTCACCGGGAGATAGTGGTGAAGGAGGGGGTAGTTTTGGTTCGGGTAGTGGTGTCAGTGTAGCCCCGGTCAGCACTGGCACATGTAATGCATCTTTTGCTAAACTCGAGCTAATGCTTTCTCTCTCCCTTTCGTAAACACTTTTTAATGATGGACCTAATCTTTCGACCTTAAGTTAAAATATTAAATAATTATAAAATATGAGCAAAAATATCATTAGTTTATAGAGTATATGTATCTATAGTTTGAAATATAAAATGTTATATTAAATACATTTAGAATATTATTAAAAATATATAAACAAGTGGGGAATTAAAAATTAAACTAAAAAATATTACCCAATAATATTAAAATATATAATTAAAAAAAGTTTATAATAACTTTACATAATAAGAACAATATTATAAATTTTCTAATTTACAATAACAAGGTTGTTTTCGATACAGTAAATTTAATTTAAATTGTTAAATTTTGCCAAATAGTTTTTCTAATAAATATATAATACTCATAATTAACTTAAATATTCATATAATTGTTGGGTTCAACTATAACTATAAAACAAAAATAATATTATAGAGATTATACAAAAATAAGTTAATAATTATATTTAATTCATTTAATTAACAAACAGAAATTCGAGTCACTTAAAAGTATCACATAAATTAAATTTTTCAAAATTATACAGAATATTAAATCTAACAATCACAAAATGTCTAAAATTAATTAATTTATATTAAAATTTATACTGTATATAAAAATATCTAAAACACAATAAAATTTAATATTTTTGTAAATTTAACTATACAGTATTAGAAATACAATATAATTAACTATATACAGTATTAATTAATAAATTAAAATGATTAAATTTTTTATTCAAAAATTGATGTAATTTTATATGAATGCAATAATGTTATAAATTCATTGCTTTAATGGTAAATAAATTTTATTATTATATATTTTGTCAAATTAATTAAAATTAATAGTTTTTGATATCAATCATAATAATTATTTGACTTTTCTTGTATTAAATAAATGAAAATAATAATAAATGAATGAATTAATGTCAGACCTGTCTTATGGCACATTCGCAGTCGTTTTTAATGGCTTTCAATAAATCCATTTCTGTCTTCAAGACACTCATATTCCACATAAAATTTTCGGCTATTTTGTCGGCTTTTCTGCCTTTAATGTTGTTAGACGTGCATAAAGTTGGCAATTGATCCCCGAGAGTGACAATCGTCTCGTGAATCTCAGACAACTAAACCATATAATGAAAAACAAAATAATTGAATACTCTATCTCTCCATCTTTCAGTTCTTATGTTAAAAAATAATGAATTTTTGTTCTGTTATTATGATATAATTTATCAAAAGATATACCATTTCGATGGTTGTGTTGGCGTTTTGTGTCACATAATAAAACTCAGAAACGGCTTTCTCTATGGTATTCATTGTCTTCATTAATTTTGGTGTCAATTCTCCCGAAGCACTCAATAATGGATACTATAGTATTCAATGAAAACAATTTAATAATATATATTATATCAGCCTTTCTTAATACAGATATTGTATTACAAAGTAAAATATTAGTCAATGTTTGGTAAAGTTTGTCATTAATTTTAACTTTGAACTCATTTTCATTGATATAGTTTTTTAATTATTATATTATTAATACTAATTACTATTTATAGCATATATAAAAATAATCGACATTTAAATATGAAATTATAAAAAGTGAATTATAATTAAAAATGTTAATAATACTATATTTAATTAGTTGGATAAAAATAATGTATAGTAATATCATACGCCCTGATCTGTGGTCACCACTTGACATGAGTTGACAGTTGCTGTCGATGCAAGTCTTAATGTGGCGACTCTAAGACATTGAGCCATATTAGCTGACTCTTGTAGAGAGCATTCATCACACAAATCAATGATAGCCTTTTCGACACTTCTTCTCAATTGAATGGACTCATTAATCAATAGGGAAGCGCTCTTGAATTGCTCGTCAATGGCTTTGACACCAATAGATCTCAAATCAGTTGACTGTTTCTGAGACCAACTTCTTTTTCGGCGTAACTTTTGTTTAGATCCGTAGCGATGGGTTAATGAGATTTGAACAAAGATAGTGGCGATTGGCAGACACTCGCCGTTCATCTGATAGAGTCTCATATGTTTATAACCGCTTTGAATGCATTCAACGGGAACCACGTTTTGGCCAATGAAGTCATCATTGATGTAATCGTCGTCTAAGACGACAAATCTGAGAAGTGCTAATTCAGGAACAGTTACGTTAAATTCAAAGCTTTCATCAAAAATCGGGTTATCGTTTGAAACAGTTCGGGTTCGGGCCTCAGCACAGTCAGCCGGTACACCAAACAGTTGTACCAATACGTATGGATCAATTGAAGTGGCTTTACTGGAAGCACCGCGAGGACGGGGTAACTGCTGACCACTTATGATCTTTAAGCGAATACATAACGGATCGATACCTAAATAATCAAAAATAATTTTATAATAAATTAACTAAATTGAAAATAAAATCAATTTTAAAGTTTAAATAATTAAAACTATTTTTAATATAATAGTTATTTTGTTTATTAAATAATAATAATAATAATACATTGCAAATTATAAACTATTTTAGGCAATAAAACATTTCAAATCAATTTTAATGAGTTTCAATATAATTTTAGTAATTTAAAAAACAAAACAAAATTTCATAAAAATTTAATTAGATCTAAACTAATATATTTAAAAACTTATAGCTAAAAGATATCATTAAGAAATTTACAAATAATATCAAATAATTCAGTAATTAAAACGTGATAATAGTCAGAATAAAATATTTGTTAAAAAACTGTTGTCATATAAATTCAATTATTTTTTATTAGTTTATCCATATATTTTGTTTAAAAAAAAAACTAACTAAAAATATTTTTAAATAAAATTCATCTATAGTGCTATAGTGCCGTATAATATAAACTTCAAATCTTTATTTGTAAAATCCTAAATAAACAATATTGCAATAATAATTTACAATAAATATTTATTTGTTTAGTAGTATTAAATAGGGTTGGAAAATACAAGGTTTTGACTTTTGGCTTTTTATAATACTGTACACTGTATTGTATTCTGAAATCTAAAACTAGTATTAAATAATACAGTATTTATATTATACAATACGGTATTTTGCATATAATGTATAATAATATATTGTAAATACTGTATTCAGAATACCTATACCTACTAAACAACTAATTGAAAAACTAAAATATGATGATATGAATGGTTTAAATAACAAAATGTAAAAATTAATACATTTTACAATTACTGATGACATACCCGGAAGTGAATCTTTTCGTCGAGAGTTAAATAAGCAAAATCTTTCCCTAAGAAATGCTGGTTTTAACACATAACCAGATGAACCGTTTTGAGTAAACCAACCCCGATATATGTCCATCATTTGACTTCCAGTCTAATAATTCAATTTAATAATTATAATATATTATACAAATATTTTTGTTGTTTTCAATCATTTGTTTGTTAATTGATAATATTTGAAACCAAATTTGTTTTATAGGTTTAATTAGTTAACTATATTTATCACTATTACTAACAAAATACTGTAATTTGGTTTAGAAATATCGATAATCAGATATATTTTGTTCATATTTTATATAAATCTAACCCAACTGAACAACTCTACCGTATCTTAAAATCTGAACTCATATTGAATTAAATGATAATTTTAATCAAATTCACTTAAATTTAATATTAAATGAAACTTTTAGTTTAATATTTAGCAAAATTGAATATTAATATGTGTTTGAATACCTGATAATTCATTGCAACCAATTGTATGCCACAATTCCAAAAATCTAATGGATTAACATTACTGGAGTCAACGCGACTAATATCAGGTATGACTTGAGTCATGAATGTCTTATTATAATGAGCTAAATCATCGGCACAGGTAAGCGCTAGTTTGGATGCCAGGGCTTCACTCAATTGGTTTACATCGGTTTCTGCAAATCAAAATATATAATATATTTTTATTTAAATATCAAATATTCAATAGTTATTTAAATCTTATTTTGTATTTAACAACACCAATATTCTGTGTATAAATTCACAACAAATAATATTTATAATAAAAATTCATAATTACATTAACTTATCAATAATTGTAAATATTTCAAAAAATATTATTTGGCTTGAATTGTACACTAAATGTTTTAAATAAATGTTTAAATTTGTAATTACTTTTACAGTTTGATTTGTAGAAATATGTATACAGTATAACAATTTATTAGAAAATTAAAATATATATTACATTTTTATAATATTTAATTTAATGTATATAACTGTAATATTCAGCAGTATTTACGTTATAATATTGCTTCAAATGAAATAGTAATCTCTTTTTATATCTAATATTTCTCAACAGATATCAATAGAAAAATATTATATATATATATATATATATATATATTGAATGCATTCGTGAATTTATATTTATTAAAAATCTCAATGTTTTTATGTATTATTAGGAATTCAAAGCAAATGTAAATTGAATATATTTTAATGCTTTTATCTTTTTACTGTATTATTAAATGCTATATTTTTGCTGAGATTTTATTTAAAAATAAAATTAAATGCATTTTAGTACAAAAATTGATTTTAAATTTAAATATAAAACTTAACTCCCTTTCTCAATTTCTTTAATTTATATAAAAAACATTTACATAAACTTAATACAATATTTAAATTACAGTAATATATTCAGGGTTGCTAAAGGTTTTCGATTACAGGGGGGGGTATAGGGGGAGGTAAAATGGCAAAATTTTCGAAAAAGCTTGAGGGGGGGTATAGAGGGTGAACATTTTTTATTGCATTTTTAAACGTCAATTTTTGCCAAATTTGAGTAAATTCCCACTAAATTCCTATTAAATTCCCATTAAATTCCCATTAAATTATTATTTTTAAAGCACATAACTAACACATTTTAATATAAAGTTTAAAATATTATCTTAATTTTCTTGAAAATTGGTGGGAATTTATTTTTTCCCTTGTGGAGTGCCCCAACTAGTGTAAATAATGTTAAATTGATGTAATTAAGTATTTTTATCTATTTATTTTCTATACATAAGCGATTAATTTATATTAAAACTAATTTAATATTTATTTTTCTGTTTAATATAAAATTTTTCATAGCTGAAAAAAATTTTCGGCGCCGAAAATTGGTAGGGGGCCCCCTAACTTTTTGGCTTCAGGCCAGGGGGGTAAAAGCCAAAATTTCGCGATCTCAGGGGGGGGGTAAGACGTCTTACCCTACCCTACCCCTCCCCCTTTAGCAACCCTGAATATATTATATTTTATATATATGCGTAAATTTAACATTAATTTGTAGCTATACTTTATTATATGTCTGAGAAACAAAGCAAATTAAGAAAAAATTTTAACAAATAATATAAATATATATTATATATAAATATATATATATTATATATAAATATATAAAGACAAAAAGTTATAATAAATATATAAATAATCATATTAAAGTTAAATATTAAAATAATGCTGTATAATATTTTATACCTTAGTTTTAATTAACTTTTATATACAAAAAACAATAACATGTGTGAATTAATATAAGTGATAATAATTCATAAAAATATAAATAACAAAAATAAAGAATTATTAGTAAATTAAAAATGTTATTAACATGAAATAAAATCTCTTGAAATTGTAAAAAATAAAATAAATATTAAAGTATTTTAAAATAAATTTAAATTTATTAGAAGTAAAATACTTTTCGATTATCTATTGGTATAATTCAATAACTATTCAATTTATTTCAGATAAATATTTAAAAATTATACTAAATCTCTATAATTCAAGTTGAAATTCAATTTTATCAATTAATTTATTAATGTATCAATTTATAAATTTAATCATATCCTTTAAATTGATAATTCAAAACCATTTAGATTTAATTTCCAAAGTTATTTAAATACAATGATTCTCTTTTTTGTTGATATTTATCAATCGTGATATTAAATTCGTAATAATATAATAAATACTGTATTATTTAATAATATTGAAGAGTAGATGATTGTTAATCACTTATTATATTAAATATGTTAATAATTTACGAAAAAGTTATGGCAATATATATATTCTTTGAATTTTTTTTATTAATACATATAATATTTAATGTTGAGATAATTGAGTAAATAAATCAAACATTATATAACATGAATACTCACGAGAGGGTTGTAGTTGTGAGAAGTCATACAATTTAATTCGTGACAATGATATCAAATCTGAGAGCTCTTTACAGACAGCAATCCGTTTGTTATGTATTTCCCGACCGCGAGATTCGTCGTCTTCATCGCTGACATTGCCATCATTTGACTGACAACTGGACGGCAACTTCTTTCCCTATAAATGTTTATAATTAAAATCATAAATATTTATTCATTTGATGATTAGCTACAAATAATATCATCATTTTGTACTTAATCTTGTATTAAATTGTAACCAATATTGTATTAAATATTTAAAACTAATTAAACTCTAAATAATAGTAACTTCAATAAATTAATTATCAATATTATTAATTATATTGATTTTTGAAATATCTAATTAATTAATTTTATTATTAAATTCAATCGTATATTGAAACATGGTTATTTATATAGTATGATAATATATTAACATTAATATTAAATTTTAATCTGAGTTATAAAATAAAGAATTAAGTGCACCAATTGTATTATAAATCTTATTAAATATTTTTAACGAATTATATTTATAATAAATAACAAATTCATTTTTAATAATATATTTAACAAAAGTTATTAAAAATTATAACAAACTCTATTTATAAAATAAAATACTGTTAATATCTAAAACAAAAATTATATAAAATTTTATATTACATTATTGTTAATTATGAAATTAAAACTGAATATGTATGGGGAAATAATTTTGTATTTTGAGTAGCATTTTGAGAAACTAATAAAAACGATTAAATGTATATTAAAATATGGAAACTTTAACAAAATATTATTTAATCGTAATATATAATACACTACATTAAAGCAAATAATATTTTTGTATAATATAAAGCTTTAAAACCTTTATTAATATTTTCCCCCGAAGTTGTTCCGGTGATACTTGAGCTACAAGTAAGGGTTCTTCAGCTCTGGGAATATAGAGAGACGAACCAAATATATTGCAAAACATGGATACCATTTGCTTCTGGACTTCTAGTGAACAGTGATTCTCCAAATGTATTATCAATGGATAACTATGTTTAACATTTTAAATGTATTATTTATCTAAAATTTTATACATTTTAAATCTAAAATAATAAAACAATATTAACTATTATTGTTGTCAAAAGCATTTTTAAGTAAATAATTCTTATATAAATTTTAGATAATTTTATTATATAATTTGACTGAATTTGTTTGCCTCAAAGTATAATGTTTTCTGTTACACAAAATTTATTGTTAATATTTAGTAAATTAAGGTAAAAAATAAATATGTTATATAAAAAACTAAATACATTTATTTATTTTTCAAAAGTACAGTATTATTAGTTAAGTCATGTCAAGTTAAGATATTTTTATATTTATTATAATAAAAATAGTTTAAAGTTATCAAATTTCTTAAATGAATATAAGAAATCTTAAATTAATAAATGATTTTTCTCATCAAATATCCAATCGTATAATAAAAGTATTTTATTAAGAGTAACAAAAGTAATTGTCTGCACATAACATCTAACAGGCATTAAGTTTCATATAATGTTAGAGATATTTGGTTATTGACTAAAAAAGAAATTTCTAATAAATTTCCCTGAGAAAATTTATAGTAAATTTTTCAATAATAAATTCCTATAGAAATTTTACTTTATTATTATACTATGAGATCCCCATATCTATAGCTATTGTAATACTATACTTGTAAGACATAAGACATAATGTATATACTACAGTATATACCAGTGATTAAAATTATAAATACATAAAAATATATTTTTATTATAATTTATGTAAAGATCCTGGTTAAAATTAAAATATAAATACAAATTTTTCAAATGTGCTAAGAATGACATTAATTTCTAAATGAAAAAGTTATAATGATAACACTTAATTTTTATCACTGCTATATACTATTTTACTATACAAATGGGATTCCTATATATAAAATAACAATAGTTTTTATAAAAATTTTAGTCAATGTTCAAAAAAAATACCGAAAGACAAACACGAAAATGGAGATCTCAGAGACAGAAATTTCTTTTAGAAACTTTCTAAAAATTTCTCTATTATTTTAGAAATTTCTCTTTTTTTGACAACATTTGATGTAAAACTCACATAATGTATGAATACATTTTGATACGTTTGATACATTATTTATAATTATAGTAGTTATTGCAAACCATTATTTATATTTTGTAATTTCTAGTGTATAATAATTTATTAAAACAATTTGATTCTAATATTTGATAAATTGAGTTTATAATTATAATTACTTTAATAAATAACGGTTAAAATTCATAGTACTTATGAAAATTAGTAATTATTAATTACAAACAACAATACTTTATCATTTATCATAATAGGATATAGTTGTCATAAATGCCGTATAGTATCAATTGTTTATATCTCCTTATATTATAACATTGAATTTGATACAACAAAATTGAATAAATCGATAAATGACTTAATTACTAATAACAATCAAAACATTATTATTAATTAGTACTACTATTACTACTAGATTGACTAATAATTTATTTAATATCTGTATAAATTACATAAAAGTTAAATATATGTGTAATGATTTATGAATGAAAACTTATATCATTTATTATATTGAGATAATTTTTATATTTAACTTGCAATAAACCACTACTGTATTGTAATTACTCACTTTAAACATCATTTAAGAATTATCTCAAAAAACATTAACTTTTTTGGTATGGTTTATCAAATTTGTTTCATAAAACAAAATTCACTAAACATTTAAATAAATTTTATAAAATAGTAATTTAGTCTATGATTTAGACGCTATTTTATCCTTATCCTATAAAATTTATAATATTAATAATTCATTTTAAATATCCCTAAATGAAAGACCGTATATTTGCTACAATAATAACAATAATTCATTTTATTGGATGCCTTTTCTCAACAAAACCTTAATTTATTGATTTTTATATTAATTTTTTCAAATATTGTGATCAATAATCTACTTTTATAATATTTTTAACAGAGACCTGTTAGTAAATATTTAAACAATTTGATGCAAATAAAAATTACAATTTGGTATTTTTTATGAAAATTTACAGTTCAATTAAATGATAAATTATAAAAATTTATTTGACATATAACATATGGCATTAGTATAGTTATCTTTATAATAACAACAAATAGTATTATAGATTGATATTGTAGTAAAGATTTAATAATCAATTATATAAAATATTGATATAAAAAAGTATTTATAAATTACTGCAATATAACATTTTAATAATTTCTGAATTTATACTAAAATTCTATAACAATTCTTATAAATATATAACAAATAAAATAATAATATAAATATTTATATTTACCTATTCTGTAAATCATAAAATAAGTTATATTTTAATGATGATTAATTACAATTAATGTTTCGAAATATAAATCTAAATTTGATATAATTGAATAATTTCAATACTGTATGTCGTACTGTATTATTAAATAATAATATATTTTATGTCATAAAAAATAGTCTATCTAATAATATTGTTAACTTTGTGCACTTTTATAGATAATAAAAATATTTATTTGAAAATAAAACTTAATAGCATTGTAATATTTTAATGTAAAATATTATTGTATAATAATGCTGTTAATTTATATTTATATTAGTTATATAATTATCATAGAGTATATTGATGTACTGTATTATCAGTTATGTTAAATATTTATATTATTAATTAACTACTAAATACTATTATTGAAAGATTAATACTTACTCAGAGATGACAAAAGCATTGGCGTGAATGGTCTCGAGGACGTCCTCCAGACCTACTTTAGAAGTCAATGTATTTCCATGATATACAACTGGACCGTCGGTGCCATCATAACAGTCCACTTTCACACAACGACAACCTATTATTTAGAAAAATTTTGAAATATAAATAAATATATCATTCTTTAAATGTAAGTCATTATTATGATTAATGTCTGAAATGTCAATCAATTGATACATACCTTGCAGTAAAGCTTTGGCATATCCTTCACAACTTGACGGACCCTTCAGCTGATCCTCTAATAGATATCTGCAAATAATCTATAGATTAATATGGATTTAAAACTTTTTTATTCTGAGGCAACTGACGTGTTATGAGACGTTGAAATAAAATAATGAGATAATGGCTGAGACATGTCGTGACAGATCTCTTTGTGATGAACTGACATTATATCACATTCTTCGGAGAGCAAGAATTGAGTGAAACCATCGATAAGTAATTGTTTGTTATGTCGCGCCTCTTCTGATGGCTCGTACTTTTCAATCAGATCTAAACACTCGTCAATTGTCAGACCACAGACTCCCTGTTCTCCTTCTAGAAAGAGTTGTAAGTCTTCTACACTCATGTAATCTCTTCCACAATATCTATGATATTGTATAATAAATGTCATTTGCATTCATAAATTATTTTTGATAATATATTATCTTAAGACATACCGAACAAGAATGAAGTAAATGTCAGGTCTGGTTGCGGTTTCAGTGAATAAAGTGATGAATACTTTTTTACTGATTCTTCCTCTTTCTTCTTCATCCTTTCCGAACTCAAATTCCATAATCTTTTGTTTCAAACTTCTTATACATAGCTTATCGTTAAGTTTCTTCATCAGCGCAATGGTCTCCCATTCGTCTAACATTCCCTTCTGGTCACTGTCTGCCGCATCAAACATCTGATGCAACCATTTCTCCCGCATCTTCTGTCGGCTCTCTAATGATTCCGGCGCTGAACCACATGACATGTCATTAATTTATTATACAAATAAATAAATTTTTATTTAAACATTATATTCATTTTTTTGTTATTTTAATAAATTAAAAATTGTTTAATTAAATATAAATATTCTAAAGTGTTTTAATCTCAATTTAATTGTTAAAATAAGTAATTAAGTTAAATATATTTGTAATCTCATAAATGCATATTTCAAACATTGTTTAGATTTTAATTAATTAAATTCATATAATGTACAGTTTTATATTATACCATAAGTGTGTTATATACTGTATATTCATGTTTTATAAATAAATTTGATATATTAATGAATTACTTAGTATTTAATAAAATTTGTTAAATAAAATCAATTTTATTGATATGTCAATAGTTAAAACTTGTTTGAAAAGAAAATAAGTATTTTAATTAAGTTTTAGCAGATTTACCATTTTTATAATGAAATAAATTAATAAACTATTTAAACATTTATATTTGTTGTAAATTTTGATTAAACTAAATTTTTATCTTTAATGTATAAGTCATATTATAGTATAATTTAATAGTATAGTTTACTATTATAAATAATAGATAAAAGATAATTATAAAAACATTACATTAACTTTATATAATTACTAATTAATTATGTACATTTGAAAACACAAGTTTTATCATATAATTACTGTATTAAATATTATGTCTATTTGTACCAAATTATGAGTTAATTTATAATTTTAAAATTAATATAACATTTATGTTAACAGATTAGCAGTTATTATTTAGATTACTAACAGACTTACATTTAAATAATAAATGTATAAATTACTAAAAGTTATGAAATTGTAAACACATCCTTTGATGACATTTTATAACATATTAATAACATTAATAGCTTTAATAACATACTATATTTATGATATAAATTAGTTTACAATATACCTGTATTGAAATGTAAAAGTAACAATAATTATGATAATAGAAAATAAAATATTAGGAATAAAATGTTTATATCATATTTGACTGAATTAAAAGTTATTAATTATTTTTCATAAATTTTATATAAAAATGTATTATTTCAATATATAAAGTTGTAAATTAATTGCATTATTATTATATATTGACGGTTAATAAAAATATATCTTCTATAAATAAAAACTCTAAAATATGTTTTTCACTAATAAACTATTATATTACTGATGTAATAAAATAATTTTTTTAGTGAATTATAATTATAATTTTATCTAATAATATGTGAATATAAAGATTTGTCTAACAAAATAAAATAAATACGACAAACCCTTGTATGTGATCAAAACAAAAGTGAATAAATTTTTAAGATATAAGAGATGTTTATAAACTTTAATAGTTTTAATTATTATACTTAAATAGACATTATAAGAGAAGTATACCTTATAATAGATTTAAAGTTGTAAAATGTTAAATACATTAATTAACTTACATTTATTAAGACCTATAAGAAAGTTAAGTCCCGTAACCCATATGTTTGCCTCTTCGGGTGACAACGCAATCAAATCAAGTGACTCGAAGTCGTCTGAATGGATGACAGAGAAGATACAGTCCTCAGAGTATGTTCCGCCGATCTCTTTGTTTTTCATGACTTCAGTATTTTTTCCGGGTCTCACTTCACGGATGTTTCGGATCGATACTAAAATGAGATGTCATATAATTAATTAAATGTCAACACTTTTATTGTATGTCTATAATAGTTGAATCATTTTATTGAGGCATCAGTGCTATTGTCAAAGCTATTTGCGGACACTAAACAAATGTGTATCAAATACTCTAACAATTAAATGTTTGTTAACTTTGTCTTCAATACTATCATATGTATACTAAATGTTTAATTAAAAACAATTTTCTCGCCAATCAATACATACGTTTAGCTTTTGACGACTTCTTGGATGACGGCAGCCATCGTACAGCACTTAAGTCCTCCTCTAAAGTGAAAAATCGTCGGTATTGTCGTGAACTGGCCTTAACTTTAATAAGTGTACTGCCATTCATCATGTGCTGCAAACAGTCCAGAGCTAAACAATTCAATACAAATAAAATCAGTTAAAGTATTAATCAAAATATTTGAATATTATAGTCAAAAATTGATAGTTAAGTCATTTATTTATTCAACAAATCATTTGCAATAAACCATTGTCTTCACTCCCTTTTCTTATTTTTACTACTATTTCAACACATATATCAATGTTAATACTTTTTTATCAATAAATATAATAAGATTTAATATCAAATATACATTTTATACATTATATATAATACATTTATACTAATGTATATTTTAATAGATTTTGTATTTGAGTTATTGTTAATATATTATTGATATAATTAAATACATTAAAATTTTAGCTCAGCTATACCTAAATATTCTCAAATTGCATAAATTTTTTATTAACCGTATTTATTACTGTATTTGATGTGCAATCAAATGTTTAGAAAAATGCAATAAACATTTTATTACTTATAAAATTTAAGTAAATTTAATCAATAATGAGGACTTGTTTGAGACTAAATTGTAGGCTAATTAAATTAATACATTTATTAATAATAATTATTTAGTAAAATTACATAATTAATTCAAATATACACATTTAACGAATAAAATAATCTTTCTAAACTATAAATAAATATAGATTATTTATAATATACATAATCAATATAATTTAATATACAGTATGTATAGATGATACATAGATTATACATCATTATTTTAGTTATACTATAGTACAGGTATAAAGAAATACTGTATACCCTTTAAAAAGTATACTACAGTACACACAAAAAGTGTAAAATTACAGAAAAAATAGATTTCTTTAAACAATTTTTTAATTAAAACTTAATTCTGTATAAATGTATAAAAATAATGTAAATAAATGCTTAAAATTATATATCAGGTATTCTAAAAATTTTGTTGTGAATAATATTTAGTCTTTTTTACTTTTATTGTTTTAATATACTTCATATTAAAAATAGATTTAAATTTTAATTATATACAAAATACTAACTTTATATATTATTATACAGTAGTATAAACAATACTAACTATTTTAAGTACTGAACACATTTTTTTATGTATTACTATAATTATTAAATACTATTTACCACAAAATATTTCCTCATATATGATATTAACATTTATAATACTAATATCAATTATTGCAATATTTAATTTCATAATTTAAATTATAATACTATTTTATTATTACATAAACAATTTCTATAAATTATTATTTTTAATCATTTAGTCTTATAAAATATAATGTTTCTGTCATTTTATTCCAAAAGATTTTTTGGTATATTTTGTTTATTATAGAATATATTTTTGTATGATTAGTATTAAATGACAAAATAAATGTATAATATTTAAAATACTTACTTTAATAAATATTTATTTAGTAGTAGTCAGTAATAGACATCAATAGAAGATTATAATAATATTAATAATGTATAAATAAAAAGTATATTAAAAAATATATTAACATAATTTGAAAACATTTAAATAAGTATTGTTAGTTTACGCAAACAAAATTCGCTATATAATTAATATAATTTATATATTGTATTATATACGGTATAATTAACAATAAATGTTAGTATAGAATATTATTGAAAACGTTTTTAGAGCTAATTTCTTATTTAAAATATATTTATAATATATTTATAATATATTTATAATATATTTATAATTTTTATTTAAAAGTAAAGTAAATCAATAAAAATAATAAATATTTTTAATCTGTTTCTAAAGTCTTTGATATAGTCTAACAATATTTAATATATAAATATAATGTAATATTTTATTATATTACAGATTACAAAATATATCACGTATTAAAAACTTGTAAAATAACACAAAATATAAATATAACTAAAATTAATGACAACAATAATATTATAAATTTTATAAACATGATTGATCGCAAAAAAATAAAATAACAAATTATATTATATATTTTGCTTATTTTTAATTTTGTTAATACTGTATATTCAAGTTTACTCATGAGTTTTATTTAAATATTGTCATGAAAAATATTGGTAAATTTATTAATTTTTTAAAAATTCACAATTATGTACAAATTGTGTTTTATCTGAAATAATAAAAATTTAACTGAAATAATTTATTTAATAGTTATACTTTAGATATTAGCAAATAGTTATTATTTCTCTAATTTAATTATCAATAATTAAAATATATTTGTAAAATGTATTCAAATACTTATTTATTTACATTTAGTGATGAACTTTAAACTCGATTTTAGCCAAATTTAATGTTAATAATTACAACAAACAGTGTTATCGACAAAAAATCAATCGATAAATCAGAATAAAGAAAATAAAGTTTAAAATGTTGTAATTGTATTCATTAACTTTTAAGCTGATATTAAAATTATATTATAATATAAATTTGATTATTAATTTTATTAATTAGTTTAAATTAAGAAATTAATCTTTTCTTTTATATTTATTATTTCTAATATAACCTGCATTTTAGAAGCAACTTATATCTTATTTTATTAAAAGATTTATGTTTATATATTTTTATAATTAAAAAAAAATAATAAACAAATAAAATATTTCATCAAAAAATTCATTTCTAATTTATTTATATTTTTTAAAATTCTGAAATCATAATTCAAAAACTCGCAAAAATATAAATGTGATTAACAAAAAACAACTTTTGAAAATGATTTCTTTAAAAAAGTCAACAATTTAAATATTTCATTGAAATTTTGGCTAAATTTTTATAAAATTAAGTGAGATTTTCATCACTAATTATATTGTATTAAATACGATATTTTTATCTATTTAATGTATTTACATAAATTGAACTGGGATTATGTTAATAAATATAAAATGTGATACAAAAAATAAATGCAATGATATGTAATATTCTACTTTATTATTGTCCAAAATTTTACAAACGTTTGTTACTAAACTTGTTTTATATTAATTTCACAAAATATATTGAAATTTTGCTTTCTTATTGCAATTTATGTTTTTATCTATGCTATGAAATGTATATTTTGTAATTTATGAGTTATTATTAATTATTTGTATTTGTAATAATAATTGTGAATTTATAATAAAAACATATCAATATCGGACCAAATGTTTTGTTTATTATACGTTTGTTTTTATCCTATTTTAAGTTATTTTTAATAAAACACTTAAAAATCAATAATATTGTACTTACTTTATACATACATTATATTAATAACATTATGCTTAATAAAAACATTATCTCTTAATATATTTTTAATGTTATATTTTAGTATTATTATTAAAATACCATTTTAATTTTAAAAACTATTACCGATAATATATTAAATGTTATCAATGTCAATATAATAAATTGTAAAATAGTGGTATAGATAGAGAATAAAATAGAGATAAAACAAATTAAGTTGATTTTATTATTTTTGCCACTGTAATCATTTATAATTAAAATTACAAAAATATTTTATATCATTATTATAATTTTAAAAAATATCTTTTATTTAGTTAGTTTATCTTTTTGTACAGTAAAATATATAAATAATTTTAGATTTAAATTTTAGATAAAATAATTGTAAGTATAACTACAAAATGGTATTTTTAAAAACAAAATTCTCGAACTAAAATAAAATTCTATATATTAATTATAAAATATATAGAGTATTGTAATTGTTTATATTATATATGTATTTCTAATAAATACAGTATTTATTAAGAAATAAGTATTATATAATAAAATTCTTTTATTAAAAAAATAAAGTAAAAACAAATATTTCCATTATTTGTCAAATAATAGCTCATGAAATTCAAAATTGTATTAAAGATTACATACAAATGTTATAAACATTTTAAATCTTTATAAAAGTAAAGAATTTCATTAGCAAAGAGAAATCTAAAATGAAAATAATATGATTTAAAAGATTAGATCAATAATAATATTATTATTATTTGCACTTAAATTAAAAATAGTTCTCAAATAATTTGTTTCAATAGATTTACTTTCTATAAATTTTATATAATAGACTCTAAATTATAGAGCATGTATTTGCACCTTAAGTATAAACGTTTATACAATTTTTGTAAATCTAAATAAACTATTACAGATTAATTTGTTTTAATACCATTGTTTAGTCAATTAAAAAACTTAAATTTTATACGTTTATATTTAAATAATTTATAAAAATTATAATACTGTATATTACTATTAATATTATATATATTACATGTAATATATGTAAACATTATGTAAAAATTAATTCAATTACGTTATAGTATTATTAAATTTCTAAAATATTTACTAAATGTAATTTAACAATATAAAAATCATATGTAAAGGATAGTTAGGTAACTATCCGTTACAAATATAATATGGATATAATACAATATAATGTCGATAGTTTAGATATTTAGTACAACAAATACATTAAATAATTCACAAAAATAAACTACCGTTAAATTTATAATAAAATATTTGATCAATTTTAAATATCGATAGATAGCATTATAGCTAGAAATTATTAATAAATGACTAGAAAATTGTTACAATGAGAAATAAATAAAATATAAGATAATTAACCATTTAATAATATTATGTTTTTGTATTTAATTATGCTTAAATAAAATAATTATTCAATATTAAATAATAAACAATGAGATTTTTATCCAGTTAATTAAGTTAAATTTAGTTATAGATTATAAAAATAATTTATTAATTGTTTATTTCTTTATAAAATGTTATTTAAAATAAATGAATATATATTTGATTGATATTTTCAAATCTATAGTCATTGATTCTTAAGTTACTTTTTAACAAAATTTAATACAAAGTATTGTGACATTAAATAAATAATTTCATTTGATGTACATTTTGATACTTTATTTACAAAAGAATCAATTTTACGTTAAATTAAGTCTATTAAGCATTTTTGCAACTATTGAAAAATATATATTTGATATTTAGTATTGTATGATAACTATATAATACTTATATTTTATAATATATTTATCAAGTATATAGAATTTTTTAATTGTTTTCATAAATTAATATAAAAATCATTTATATTTGTATCTTTAAAACATGAAAATTACTGACATTATTAAACACATATTACAAATATATTGCTGTAATTTTTCAAAATTTTTATGTAATTTTGAAGAATTACAAGAATATATTTGTAATATATTTGTAAACGGATGCTCAAACATGTATAACAAGTTAATCAAACTGTGCCGGTATATAGACAATTGGTTTGTATTATATTTTGTTACGAATAATATATAAATAAGTAAATGATGAGCTTTTATATAATATGATTTAGTGACCTATTTGTTGTAAAGCTATCAAATAAAGTCATTTGAAAAAATATACAATATATAGAATATTGTTAGACATGTATTTATTTTCAACAAAATGGTGTTTGCATTAAATTGTATATAAAATATTTATTAAATATATATTTAAATGATAATAATCTTACCGTTTGACACCTTTTTTTCTCCCGACTGTGCGGTTACACTGTGAAAGCAGACACTCTTTTGTGTTTGTTTTAAATTTCGGTTGAAATTAAATACATTTCCCGACCCGTCCTCAGATTCAGGTGAAACTGCTTCACGACTGACCGGATCAGAGCCGTTGGAACCGAAACATGGACTGTGCGTCTGATCCAATGCTGTTGATGAGGACGTACTCTGATTAGAGTCGTCTACAATTGCACCGGTAGTCACATCACTTGAAGCACAGTTATTATTATTATTATTAACTTTATTATGACTTTCTGTTACATTAACACTTGAAGACATTTGTAGTTAAATCTTAGCAAAGATAAAAAATGTATATCAATTGTCAATTGAGGTCAACTATTGAAATCATTGATATTTTTATATATGTTATAATAAAAAAATAAGAAAAACATCAATTCTTGATTTATTTTTAATTCTTGAACTGATTAGCAATTAGACGAATTGACGTTACATTTTGAATACAATAATAATTATATAATAGTTTTTTTAGGTTCAGATTCTTTAACAGTATATACAATAAAAAATTAGTTTATGATTTTTACTTCCATTAATTGGTTTCATTTATTCTCATAAATCACAAAATCATTGAACGTTTTGTAATTTTGTGCCAAAAAAATAAAACCATTTTTTTTATACATTTAGCACACATTCCCGGAGCTATCAAAATGTGTATATCATTACGTTATTGCATATAAAAATAAAACACCAGAATATTGTAGTAATAATACTATTATAGTTAAGATAATATGGTTTTAAGCTATAACAATTTATTGTTTTCAAATGTTATAGTTTATCATTTTAAATATATATAAAATATTTAAATATCAATATTTAAAATAAAAAAGTCATACAATTTTGTTTAACTATTAAATCTATTGCCGAATAATTAGGCAAAGATTGCACTTATAAATTAAATAACAGACAAATTTGATTAATAATTAAAAATAAAAATCTCTTTTATGATAAACTGGTAAAAATAATTAAAATGATTTATAATATATTGATTTTTGATAAAACCGGTGACAGTTGTTATTTGTTGATAATGTGAAACATTTGATTTGATTGGGATTTCATAGTAATGTATGGTTTGTTTGGAAACACATCATCGCGTCTGTCGTAATCACATTCATCGCAACGATTCGCTAACTATTGGTATTACAGTTGTGTTTATATTGAGCTCTCACTCACTCTCACACTGTGTTCACTGTCTCTCATATATAACACTCCAATAGCTTTGTAGAGAAAAGGATGTAATGGTAGGTATGGTTACCATTGCTTTGGTTTCATTATAACTAAATCATTCAAAATACAAATTTACATATTTTTAATATAATCATCAGATATAACAATTAATTTATCTGATATTAATATAGTTAATTATAATAAGTATTTAACTTACAAATTATTAAAATACATATTTATTTATTATTATGTTTTTAATACACATTTTGACTGTTTAAATTATAATAAAATATAAATTCTTAAAAAACTATACAAATAAATGTAAAAATATACTATTTTTAGTTAAAATTTCAGCTTAAATATAACACTACAAGATAAACTTTTCTTAAATTAAAAACTATTAGTTAATATATTCAATATAATATTTGATTTCATTATCACAATCATTTTAATTAATATAAATTAATTATAATTTATTATGAATTTATTATAGAAATTTTTTTTATTTAATTTATTTTGTTTTGTTTATTTGAGATTAATTAAAATATTAGTATCTTAACACTCTTAATAAATATTAATTTTTAGTAAATATTTTATTACATATTCTGATATACAAAATACTTATTTTATGTATTATTAATAGTTAGCTATGTATTTAAATACAGTATTTGTAAGATCAGAGCAATCTATGGTTCAAATATTTAAACAATTATTGAATTATTTAATTCTTCACTTATTTTTTATTTTAATTAACTATAACTTCCGATATTTTTATAAAATATTCTACAATAACTACAAAACTAAAATGCAAGCTCGAAAAATGTTGTTAGTATGTGTATGTGTATGTGTATGTGTATGTGTATGTGTATGTGTATGTGTATGTGTATGTGTATGTGTATGTGTATGTGTATGTGTATGTGTATGTGTATGTGTATGTGTATGTGTATGTGTATGTGTATGTGTATGTGTATGTGTATGTGTATGTGTATGTGTATGTGTATGTGTATGTGTATGTGTATGTGTATGTGTATGTGTATGTGTATGTGTATGTGTATGTGTATGTGTATGTGTATGTGTATGTGTATGTGTATGTGTATGTGTATGTGTATGTGTATGTGTATGTGTATGTGTATGTGTATGTGTATGTGTATGTGTATGTGTATGTGTATGTGTATGTGTATGTGTATGTGTATGTGTATGTGTGTGTGTATGTGTGATTGAATTGTATTTTGCTTTTGTAATTTCCTCATTACATTAAATATCACACTTTATATAATTTTTATCGTTTAAGTTTATACTGTACATACATTACAATATATTGAATATTATACAATTAAATAGAGTTTGTTATTTTTAAAAATAATTTAATATAAAAGATTAAAATAAGTATTAAAAAATTCATTCAATTAAGTTATAATTTACAATTAATGAAGATATATAAACAAACTATATCTTTATATGTACTGTATTAACCAATATTGTAAAAATATTTGTTTTTATCTATAAATACAATATTAAATAGTGTTTATTGAAAACATTTCATATATAAAAACATAAAAAAGTAATTATATTTGTTTCGCTATTTTGAAAAATATATTAAAAAGATATACATTATATTTCCTTTACTGTATTGTCTTTATCCGTATTTTGAAAGATAGTTCTCACTAATAAAATTCAATAAAATAGTAGTGTATATAACAAATATTATATCAAACGGAAAATTGAAAAAAAATTATTTGTAAACTTAATGTTTATATAATAATTGAAATGTCAAATCCACATTTTATTTTGACTGAATATAATACTAATGCATATATAGATTTATATAACTAATTCATAATCAATCAGCGCTTAAATTGTTTTTCATATCAATTGCATAAATATATTGAATATAATTTTATTTAATAAACAATTTAAGTTATTATAATTTATTATTAACTCATTTATTAATATAGTAGTTATCATCATATTTTAGCATAAAATAAAAATAAGTTATTGTTTTCATACTAAAAACTACTGTATTAAACATTAAATGGTATATTACAGTACATTAAAGTTAGTAAAACATTTAACATTTGCATTGCTAAAAATCATTGTATTTAAAGTTTATTTGTTACATAATATTTATGTATTATAATTGCAACAATTTATTGATTTTTTAGTTATTTATACACAATATAAACCATTATAATAATAAGGTATGAGTCAATACATTTTGACGACTTGATGTTATATTTAATAACATATATATACATTATATTTATTCAATTTAACTAATATAATCTTATAAGTCTGTTTTATTAAATAATATGTATACTAATTAACTGCAAAAATTTTGTAATTTTCTACATAATTGTAAATTAAACACAGTTATTATAAATACAGTATATGTACAGTATATGTACAGTATATGTACAGTATATGTACATTATTACTATTAAAATATTATAATGTATACTAAAACAAATATATTTAGTTAAGTACTAAAAATTGAGTAAATCTTATGTAAGATGTCATTAGTTTTGGAGTTCAAACCCAAACCCAAACCCAAAGGACATAAGAGATAAAAAGTTATTAATAGCATATCAACGGAGAAATCTCTTTATAGCAAACATATAATTATGCGCTGAAACTACAATTTTGCCCACACTTTCACTTATTATTAAAATATCAATTAAAAATTTATATTATTATAACATATAATTAGCACGTAATGTGCAAATTTCATATTTTTTTAATAATAACTTTAATAATAATAATAAATTATTATTAAAATACTTAAATTGTATGTTTTATAAGACATTTGTTAAAAATAGTGAAATTATTATTACCATTGTTTTCTGTTTTCACAAATAATAATTACTAAAACATTAAATGTGATATCCATTTCACTAAAAATAATATAAATAAACTAAAATATATGATTTTATTGTATAATATTAATGGCAACTGATTTATAAATAATAATACATAATACGTGTTAATGATCTAATGTTTAACTACAGTATATAAAAGTCAAAAATTTTATATTAATGATTAAGAGTCTTAACTTAAGACCGTATTATTTAAGTACATTGTCTTTATATCAATATTACTACTCAAACATTTTGATTGTAAACATAAATTTCATTAATGTTATTATTATCAGCAAAACATTTTTATGATTTATAATATACAGTAATATAATATTTAAACTGTTTGTACCGTTAGATGCTTTACATAAGTTTCTATTAAATTACTTGAATAATGTTAAAATACTATACAAATACTGTATATATAAAGTATTTAAAATTAATATATCTTTTATCAATACATTGTGATTAAAGACTGATTGAACTGTTTATTAAAATAACATAGTGTTGTGAAATATACCAAAATTATATTTAATATTTTTTAGAAACATTATAATTATCATTGATTTCATACAAGAATACTATAAGTAAAGCATTAAATAAAATTTATATTATAAATTATATTTGAGACAGTATTACAGTATATGAATATAAATTATATGATCAATGAATAAAATGAAAAGTTTAAATTAAAGTTAAAGAAAATAAAATTATTTAAATGTAAAAAAATATGAATTTATTAAAAAATATTTGTGAACTCGATTTAAATGAAAGGTATATTAACACGAATTTTGCATTACTATAATAGTTAAGAAATATTAATAATTTATATTATTTATTAATAAATATATTTGACAAATATATATCATAACTAAATGACATAAAAATTGCGCAAAATTAATATAAACAGTTTTCATGTTTAAATAATTTATATATATCTATATATAATATAATTTTGTTGAAGTAATAACATAACAAATATACTAATGAGTAAAATATATTATATTGTTGCAAATAATAATTGTTTATTTAAGTAGTTAATTAAGCTACTAAATAATGTTTTCTATATTAAATAATTAAGTTTTATTATGTTAATAACATAAATTTTATTTTTGATGCAAAATTATTTATTTTTATAGTAAAAAAGTAATTATTTGATAAAACTTAATATAACTAAAAAAATTATTCTTCATTTCTCTCTTTCTTTCTTTCTATTATCAAATATGTGATAATATATAATAATGTTATTATATTTAGTAAAGATATGGTAGAAGACAATGAGTTTGGGTGGCAGTCATTGCCGGATGTCTTACTCGAAGATATATTTGGTTTGCTTTCTATTAAAGAGAAACACATCGCGAGTCAAGTTTGCAAACATTGGTTTCATATATTTTATTCATCAAAAGTTTGGGCTATTTTTGTATTAAATGACGAAACACTTACTAAACGAAAATATAATTATTATTTGGGATATGAGAGGACATTAGATCATTATAGGACTCAGGTATTACTCAATTTGTTTATACTGTAGTAATTAAAAATAAAAATAGCATATTTTGACATCAATTTAGAATATTATATAATAAAAACATTAAATAAAATTTTATGAGTTTTTATATGAGTTTTTAGCATTTGTTTACTATAATAATATTTCATATTTGATATCAATAATAAATGTTATTATTTTTGTCATATCAATAGATATTCCTCAACAGAGTCGGACATCAATTAAAAAAGATTATAATCAAACCAATGGTCAATTTTTTTAATTTGTATGAATTTATGAAAATATTGTCATATTTTGCCGAATTTTACGATCAAAACCCATTGAGAAAAGTTAATACATTTGACTTCACTTTTTCGTGTCATCAACTATTGGAAAGGGATGGCAATCAAGAGACTGTGTTTGGAACGGGAGGTAAACTACTCCAGTCATTAATGAGACTCTTGAGAAACTTAAAGGGTAACTATATTTTACATTTGTTTTTTATTTATAAAACAAACACATGTTTTCATTATTTGTTTCATATAAACACTAATATTTTATATAAACTTTATAATAAATAATAGTATTAATAAACAAAATGATAATCACAATATCAATTATAATTGACTTATTATTTTGTAATTTAATATAACAATATAAACATTTATTATACTATTGTTAAATTGTGAAATTAATATGCAGTTTATTTAATATTTAATAAAGTAATGATTCACATATTCAAGTCATTTACAACAATAAAATTAAGAGATCTATGAATAGCAGATCATTATTAAAAATTAAAACTAAATAGACTATTGATATGGAGATTTAGCAAATATTATATTAAGATTTTAATTATATATTTTACAGCTTAAATAATTTTATTTTATCTAATATATAATAAAATTAATGATATTATAGATTAATTAAATTATAAATTAAGATAAATAATAATTTTGTAATAAATTTTAAATATTAATTAAGTATATTTGTAAAATAATAATTTATAATATGTATAAATATATTAAAATGAATACTTTATTAAAACATTATATACTTTTCTATAAATAACTTGAATTATTTCATAAATTAATCCAAACATTAATAAAAAGTGAAAATATATTATATATTTTTCTTAACCTTGATTTATCATAAATTTGAAATAAGAAGTAATATATAATTAATTAACAAATTATGATTGATATGACTCAATATATTAGGTCTTTTATATTTATCACTTCGAGATCTACTTCTTGAGCCGAGTGAAGCCCAATATTTGTTGGACGACGTGGCCATCAATTGTTGTCAAACACTTAAATCATTAACATTATTGAATTGTAGTAAAATTTTATATCCTATACTACATGTGGGAGTGTTTCTCAATTTGAAAAATTTGGTTATATCACCACAGGTACAGTATTTTTAATATCAATACAATATCATTTTTAAACAAAAATCAAGTTTACTCACAAATATACATAACTTTTATAATAATTCAATTTGATTTCTATTAAACAATATACCTATATTACTATTATTTGAATTATCAAATAAATATTATTATAAAATATATACAACATATTTAATTAAATATTTTTAAAAATATTTTATATATAAATAATAACTATTGATTTAATTTTAAGTGTTAACCTTGTGTACAAAAATTGCAGTATTAATCTAGCCAATTATTATATATATCAAATATATATAAGTATATTATATATATATATATATCTAAACAATTTTTATAAATAAAAAAATATCTCTGTTTAAAGTTAAAATGCACAATAATATTCTCAATAATTTAAATAAATAGTATTAGCAAAACATTTATAAACTTTAAATTAATAATGCAAAATATTTTTTATAATTAAAAAATTATCATAATAAAATTAAATAAATGTTTTACAGATATAAATTGTCAACTATTGTATACATTAAATTATATAGAGTTAAATACAGTAAAAAGTAATTATAAAATAAAAACATATAATACCTTTAATTATTAAAAAGTGCTAATTAGTAATTCAAATCAGACATCCGTTATAATAAGTTGCTTAATATAATAATTATAATCAATTTTGATTTATATTTTATTTTATATTTATTTTTTGCTTTTTTAAAAATAAAGTTTTAATTAAAATAATAATTGAACAATTTAATCAATAACAATTATTTAAGATTTTTCATTATTAATTATAATAAAATTGTTTAATAATTTATTACTTATTATAATATACAGTCTATTTAGTGAAGTTTAACAAAAAAATCAATTAATGAAATGCTTATAATAAGATGTTTCGTAAATTTTGTTGACTCTGTATAGCATTTAAGTGACGATATAGTTGTGATGCTATCAGACACTAAACTACAAGACCTATGGATAGTTCAAAACAAATACACTGAATACTGTCAACCCATCTCTTCCAAGACATGGAGGAGTGTTTCAAAACACAACCCATTGATGCGCATACATCTGGTCGTCACCGGGAAAGTCAATAGTGAGGTCAGTCAACAATATTTATAATTATTTTTACTATTTTTATATTTTAAAAGCAAATCTATTTATTTTAAGTTTTAGTTTAAATTAATTTATAATTTTAAGATAAATTACATATAAAATAAAATATTGTATATAATATACTTTATATATAAATTTATATTTATAATACAGTATATATCTAATACATTAATAAAACGGAAATTTTAATAACAGATTTTTCTTAATATTTAATTAACGCAAACAGTTTCATGAATTCAAGGTTTTTGTAACGTTTGCATTAATTAATAAATTAATTTTAGATTAGTTTTTAATTTCTGAAATTTATTCATATGAAAGAGATACTTATAAATAAATTATTAAAACATTAATTTTTAATGTTTAGAGATAAACATATTTTACATACATCATTTAAATTTTATATACAGAATTATATTAAATTAAAATTAACAAAATATTAATAAAATCGAAATTAATGTTATATAAATAAAAACTAAAAGTATATGTAAAAATATAATCAATCTATATGATTTAATACTTTTTGTATTTAAAATTTTATGAAACTTATTGGATAATCACTTAAAATTGTGATAATCTTAAAAATATTTTACTAAAGTATCTTTGTTCATAATTTTTAAAAATCAATTTTGGTTTGTAATGTCTTTTATATTCACAGTTAATAATAATGTTTAAAATAATCAATAGAAATATGCATAAATTTGTGTTTAAAATGGATGAAAATTAAAGATAATTTTAATTTTCGATTTTAAAATATAAATTAAAATCACTTTTTAATATAAATAAACTTAATCAATGTTTTATAAAATAGACACAGTAAACAATACTACAGTATATAAATATAATCATTAATAGATTCTAAACAAATAAAACATTACATTATTGCATATAAATAAAATAACGTAAATTTGATGAAATTGCAAAAATAAAATAAATAAATTTAATTGTCTTCAAACAGATTGTATGGCAAGAGAGTGAATCAGTCAAATCAGTCATATATGACAGTCCTATCTTCTCAATGAAGTCTGAATCGCTATTCATTATAACTTCAATGTATTCATCAAACTTAGAGCACTTGGCTTTTCATGGATTGCCTCGATATCATATGTCCAACAAATTTAGTCAAAGAGCTGACACATCTCTTGTAATTATACTTTAAGTTTAATATTAAATATTATATAAAGTATTTTTTACTGCATAAATAATTTTATTAAAAATATTAAAACAACTATAAATATAAATTATTGTGTATATTATATTTAGACTAAATTTTATAATATTTATATAAATTATAATAACTTAAATTATTGCTAATTTTAAAAACTTAATTCATAGTTTACAAAATCAATATTTTAAGTAGTTTTTAAAATTTTATTATAGAGCTATTTCTATTATAAAGATTTATTAGACATAGTTTTAGTAGTATTATAGTATTAAAATGTAAAACTAATGAAATATAGTATTATAAATAAGTTATCAATTAAATTGTCAGTATTAAAGAAACAATGTTTTATGAAATAACTAAAGAGGATATAATGATATTTTTTTAGGTATTACTATCTCAGATGTGTCCAAATCTGAAGACATTAATAATAAGGGAACTCATATCGACGGCAACTTTATTAGTTATTATAACGAGTGCTCAACAGTTGACACAATTTATTGTCCGAAAAAATGCTATCATTAAGAGGTTTGATTGGAAACAACAGACCGATTGGTCCGACCATTACTATCAATGGATTAAATATAACTCCACTTCATATGAGCGAACATTTGACGAAATCTCCAAAATTATGGGCAAAAAATGGTTACCACTTACTGATGATGAATTCAAACGCATTCATCCAAATAATAGATTTTAAATGTTATATATTTGCATACTTTAATGACAATTACTTTTATTTAAATACTGGTACTTATAATGTGTATTAAGTTTGCAATAAAAATTATAACAATTCCAACTACAGTATTATATTATTGATTTTAATTTATAATGAACTGACATTATAACTATAATATAACTAATATGACATTGATGTTAACTAACAAGTGTATACTGTAATTACGAGTTTTATTTTATAATTAAAAATATCTTGATATAAATAAATAAATAATCTTGATTCAAATAAGTATAAAATCATTTTTACAATTTAACATATTATAACAAATCTATGTATTAAGTAATGTATAATCTACTAATTTTACTATTGCTAAATTAGTAAATTAGTAAAAATATACAATTAATAAAATTTAGGAAAATTGCAAAAATGGTGATAAATATTTGAAAGGATTTGCCATTGGATTAACCGGTAAATAGTTTGAAGAAGTCTTGAGCACCGGTTGTGGCCGACCGTAGAAATCCCTTAATGCTATCCATAAGAGTTCGCGAGAGACTCTTTGAGCGCATAGTTGTATCGTTAGATTGATTTGAAAGCAATGTATTACTTGAATCTTCTGTCGACTCGTATCGCATAACTCTATTAGAATTATGACTTAAGGTATGATCAGAACGATGTGATACATAAGCCGAAGAACTTTGACAGACGCCTTGCGTACACTTCTTTGAGTCACCACATGTACTGCCTTCCAGTGCTGGATGTGCTGGTGTTGCCCACGAACCCGATAAACACCATAATTCACGACATATATCCTGAAAAATGTTAATTTATTTTAATCACAAATTGTAAAACATATCGATTAAATCAACACTTATTTATATATGTAATGCAAATGCAATCCTAAAAACACATCAAATCAATAGACTTTATATAAATTATTTGGTAAACTTTTAGACAAACAAATATTGTATAAACATTTTTGAATTGATAACGACTTACATTAAAAGGCTCTTTACTTGAAGTATAAGTCTTATATTGTGATCCCAGTGCTAAAAGACACTGTTTGTTAGGTGGGTATTGTTCGCCCGGCAATCGATTACTTCTCTCAAAATTCAAGTCAGCACTCGGAGGGTATGATTCATCGTCTAAACACTTGGCATTTGCTTTACTGTAAAAATTTTGTTTAAATCTGTTATTTTTATATTTATTAGATATATATTATTATCTCTTAAGGATGAATTGTATGTGAGATATTTATCAAATATACTGTACTGTATAATACATTTTATATACAGTATATATATAGTATATATTGGTTTAACAATGGATACTATAGTTGTTTGTCAAAATTTGCTAACTCTAAGAATTTAAACATTTCGATAAATTAATTTAATAATATAAAACAATAGTAAAAAATAGGTATAAAAATTATAGGTAAGGGATCATCAATAACAAACATACAATGTTTGTAATATTGTAAAATAAAATATAAAAAGTATAATATAAAATTAAATTATAAAATATATATCAAATAAATTAGATTTTCAGAGAAAAAAGATTGAAAATTTAGTTATAAATAGTAAGAAATGTATTTTCCATTACTAAAATATACTTAAATTATAGTAATTTTACTAAAATGTTATTAAAATAAATAAAAACTAACTGAATTAAATAAAAAATATTTATGAACAATAATTTATTAATTTATTTAACATAATATTGATAACAATATATTAAAATTTAAATAATTAGTAATAAAATTCTTACGTTAGAAAATTGTCCAAGTATATATTGCTGCATGGTGACCAGTTAATCTTACCAGGACCAGTTTTCTCAGACATTATAAATTTATCGCCATCACAATTATTGCCAGTGCCGTCATGCAAAATACCCAAACTATTGATTCAAATTAATCATCAAATAATAACTATTTGAAAGATTAAAATATTTCACCCAAACCTGTGCCCCATTTCATGTGCGATAACAAATGCCGCCTCAAAACTTTTGCCTTCATTTAAAGTGCAACTATAGGTAGGTTTGCACATACCGTTAACCCAGGCTAACCCTATTAATACAATACAATAGTATTATTCAATAAAAACAACTAAATTAATAAATAAACACTCTATCAATTGAAATCAATGTAAATGTCAATTAACATGACATAACATACCCAACACTTTTTTGTTTTTTGTGTCTCCGTTTTGTTTATACAAATCGAGTCTAATAAATAATTAAATTATTGTAATCAATGGGTTTTAATAAATAGAAACTAAATAAATCAATAAAATAACGATAAAATAGAGAGAGAGAGAGAGAGAGAGAGAGAGAGAGAGAGAGAGAGAGAGAGAGAGATAATGATGTGAAACCCGGTTAGCATAAGCGCGTGATCCCAACGATGCGATGAATTTTGTTGTCTCCACTTCTTCGTCTGCCAATTGCAGAAATTATCTAAATATTGATCGATATCTCCGTTAGCGGTGTCCGGACCCGAATCGGGTTGACTAAGAAAAACCAATTTAACGATCACTATCTTAATCCTTGTTTTCATTGATTTAAAATTATAAATGAGTTGCACTTCATTCATAATGGCAAGAATTTGTCGGATTAACTCAGATCTCATTCCACTATATTTGTTGAGTAGATGTTTGTCCACAAAAATTGCTGTTTCAATGGTTTTTAGTTTACTAATGGCTCTTCGTTTACGCTTAAGATTTGAAATTTTAAATGAAGAGTTATTTTTGGCATTTATATCAATAAATTCATTCAATGCTTTTTTCTTATCGTTTTCATCTATTAATTCAATATTTTCAAAAATATAAGCATTTGTTAATCCATTATAGAAAAATATCAATGTTATCATATGATAGAAATTACAAATAAATTTTTTATAATATCAAGTATTTTTAAAAATTAAATAAATGTTTAATAAATCAGCTTTTATTAGCTATTTTTACCAATGAATGCCAAATCACATAATTCTGTTTCGCTTTGATTTACACCAAATGATATCGATTTCTAAATTAAAATACTGTTTATATTGAAAAATATTCAAAAAAATAATACAATTTTTTAAAATACCAACCGATTGTATGTTATCTACTAAATTATATATAATAAAATTAATTACTATTATTTGGTATATTATAGGCGCCTTAAGAAAAATTGAAAAATTCATTTGATTTTGTATAGAAAAATACATTTTTAAAAACTTTATTCACATTTAAACTATGTATTAAATAATACGACAAATTTTGTTAAATCATTTTCTATTCACAAATACAAAATACAGGTAAACTTAGGTATAAGAAATTATGTGATTAACTATAAAAATAACAAAAAGACAAAATAACAGTTAACTTTTTCAACTAAAACTAAGTTTGAAATATCTGAAACATAGCAGATATTGAATAAACTTCTGGCACTTCATAAGATCACATAATAGACATACAAATCATTAATGATTGAAATAACAATAATTTTTAGACTTTCGTGTCGTTGATAACAAATAGTTGGCAAAAAATGTATGATTTTGTTTGTGATATTGGACCGGATATATAATGTATTCATAAAGGTATATATATATATATTGTAACAATAGGTAATGGCTGTGAACTACTGTACCACAATTGGCCGCACTTGTGCTTACTTTCACCCAATCCCTATTCCAATGCATTTGGATTATGTAACTCATTGTCTATCATTTGTTTCATATCAAGGATTCAATTTATTATATAATTACATCCATGAGCTGAAAATAGTCGTCAATGCATTTTATTATTGAATATTCAATTTGTACAACAAATATAATAGATATTTAAGTGACATAAACTTCCCTTTCATTGTCACCGAAAAATATTTATTTCGAATATAATAATAAGTTTGGTTTTTATTGATTTTTATTTTATTGCAATAATTATTGTAATATTTGGCATCAATTGCTATCAAATCATATTTATGTTCAAATAAATGTCTTAATGGAGAGAGAGAGAGAGAGAGAGAGAGAGAACAATATTATATAATTTATTGAAAATTTCAATATACAATAATTGTGTGAAAGTGTAAAACAAATTGATAACAAACACCAGTTCCCAAAAGCTGCTTCCGGTGCTATAATGTCTATAATAATAATGCTTATGATTTGTTTAGTTTGTGTTTTTGGCATTTGGGGTCACTTTGTTAACACCTGTCTATACTCTGATACTTTTTATATAAAGTATTAAACAGTATATGAATACAAATAATAAACTCATTATGTTGTATACATTTAGAGCGACTTTTTAAAAATTGTAATTCATATTCAATATATATATATATATATATAAATTCATTTGTAATAATGATTTAAATTCTACTGTAATTGTAATATCATTTTAATTATTTTATATTGAAATTATTATTTAAAATTCATTATACAAACGATTTTTGTAATAATGTATGCAAAAATAGTCTAATAAACACTTTTATTATAGGATGCATTTATGACTGCAAACAATAAATATTTGTATTACCGTATAAATATACAGTTAATTATTTATCTACAATAAATAAACAGATAAATAAATAATATTGATATAACTTAACATTTAAAAAAACTTTTATTTATTAAATTACTTTATTATCAATGAAAAAGCAAAAAATTATAATTAACTTCATTACTTGAAAATTATTAAAATTTGAAAATAAATAATTATTAATAGAAAACAGTAAATCAAAGTCTTATTAGTTTATCTGAACTGTAGTGGACTAAGCCTGAGTCCAATGGTATCTTTGCCTACTTGTGCTACATTACAGACTACACAAAGAGTTCCCTTATATTGAGGCATATATGAAGACTGACATAACGGACATTTGTCTTCAGGTTTTCCTCTATAAATGGGTCTATAACTGGCCGCACATATATTGAAAGGGTTGTGTTCATCATAATTGAGTTTGTGTTCATCGATCGGAGTTTTATCGCACGCCTGAAGTATTTTTCTAGTTTGTGCCGACACATCAGCTTTTGGACCCAATTCTAACAATCTTCTGGCAAAAGAAGCGGCCATTTGATAATTCTTTAACTTAAAAAACAAATTCAAAGCCGTTCTTAAAGTAAGCATTTGATGAACGGGTTGTAGTTTTGAATGAGTAAAATAAGCGGCCATTTCACACGATTTCTTTTGTTGGTCTAATGTATCTTTAGGTAAACCTTTTCGCTCTAATTCTAACATTAGTCCTAATGTATACTCTTTACAAATTTCAAGTAACTGTTCTGCTTCTGCAATGTCCTGTTTGGTGTCGGCCACCAAAAACAAAACATTTAGTAAAAGTGCTCTAAATTTTTCAACGGCTTCTTGAAATTTGCCGCCAGTTGTCAATTGATAACATGTTTGTAAGCGCTGTACAAGATCTGGGAGTTTGCATCCAATGGCAGGCAAACCACCTTTAGGTCCGGCGTCGCGCCAATTCCTTTGCGGATAGCAATACATTGTCGATAAATGTGATAATCCTTGATATGCAGTCCTCGATCGCGAATATATGGTTAACATCAAAGGCTTTAATGATTCAAAATTAACGGCTCCAACCTTTTAGTAAATCATTTAATCATTTAAATCAAATAAATTATTATTTTAAATATAAAATGCAATAAAACAATACAATACCTGATCATTGAGTAAACGACAAGCAGTTTCAAATGACCCCGACAATACATGATCCACTGCTAGTTTTGAATTGTTTATCCAATGACGTGTTGGGGGAACACCCTTTGTTGGGGGAACAAAATAATTGTCATCACCACCACTAACACCAGCAGAAGCTGTTGATTCCAATTCAGGTAAATCCAAATCTTCGACATCCCAACCGGCACCTTCTCCTCCATCTTCATCATCATCCTTAACAATTCCGTTCTCTCCTTCGTCATCATCTAATTCAAGTTCTGCATCATCACCCCATCCTCCAGCGTCTTCATCGTCAGCTATGATATCAGTAGCCGAAGTGATACCAGATTTACCTTTTATTGCAGCCATTGCTCCTTCAAAGAATCCACGAGAAACAGTCAATAATGGCCAGTTGTCCTCACACGGAGCTATTGGTGGCTGAGGTTGTAATAAAACAGCGTTAGGATCAGGAACTGGCAATTGTTTATCAGTTCCAAATGACTCTTTAAGTTCATCAGCCTCTTCTTGGACACCATGAGTAGCAGCGCAAAGATAAGCCAAAGATGTTTGTCCACAATTTCGAAGTATTTTGATGCGTTCGTCAACATCACCTAAAAAGAGTGCGATTTGGAACTGTCCTGACGTGTCTTTTCTTATTTCTGCAATTTTCATCATTTTTCTTAATTTCTCCAAATTTCCGGTCACAACATAAAGAAAAGCCAATTTATCGAAGTTTTTAGTTCTTTGATATGCCATTTCCACGACTTGATGGTTACCCTGAAGTAGTGCTGCTTCGGCCAAACGTTCCCAACAAGTCTTGTCGTCGAGACTTCGTGCGGCCTCTAAGGCTATCTCAATGTTACCACATTCTAAAGCTAAAGCAAATCGAGTTTTCTGGTCTTTTACAAAATGAAGCGCTACTTCTGGATAGCCCTTCTTCTGTAAGTAAGCAATGATAGACTGACCAACAAGTTTAGCATTTCTAACCATAAGTAAGACTTCATCATATTTGCGATTCACAAGAGCTAACTTAAATCGATATTCTGTTGGATCAATTGTCATCACTTTGGGTTTTGCCTCTCTGTCCAAACAATAGACTGAATTGTTTCGAATACGTGTGATATAAATAGGAAGATCTAGAGTTCGGATAATTCCATAGTCGCCATTAGTCAGAGCATATTTGATGTGATTGGAAATGGTGTATATGAAGACACCAGAATCATCCCACGATCCAGACTTTACTTTTGTTGTCTCAGTAATGGTTGACAAAACATCCATTCTTCTGTTGCAAATAGTTATTTGATGTTTGCTTAAGACGGCCACATGAGTCATATCTTTATTCCAAACAACAAATTTAACTTTCGGTGTCTTAACAGTGGCTAATGATCGGCTCTGTTGTACGTCATAGAGTATGAGTCCCTCGACATCTCTTAATAACAACATACGAGTTCCCGCATAGAATATCTCATCGCATGCCGGAGTCGATAGCTTTTTAGTCACTTCATTCTTCAAGTTCTTAATCACAATGGAATGGGTTCGGTCTAAGACAGCAAACTTGTCTCTTGCAATCCAAACAGCCGTCAAACCCGACGCTCTCTTAGATTCAGGTGATTCAGGACTGTGTCCATCACTGTCTTTCGGGACAACATATAAATCATAAATACTATTCTCCAAATTTGATGTTCTTGTGGTTAATAAGACGGCATTGGCTGCCGGGTTATAACTCATTGAATAGACTGGATTTCGGCCGCGATTTCTTAATTGCATTAAAGGTATGTCTTTAGCCGTTGTAAAGTCAAGTCTACGCAAAAAGTTTTCCTTAACGTAATACAAAAGATTGCCTTCAATAGCAAAAGCAGGTCTTTCGCGCTCTAGTTTAAAGACAATCATTCCCCCGTCATGTCCGGCAGCAAACAAATTTTGTGTCGGATGTGCGACCATAATCCAGAAACGGTCGTTCTCTCGCCTAAACGTATTAAGACACGTCCTTTTAGTCAAATCCCAAACGCGAATACTCTTGTCCTCTGAGTTACTGAGTATAAGATCTTGTTTGGGATGAAATATAGCGCACGAAACGTTGTTATAATGACCGCGACATGTGTCCACTTCCCAGGCCTTTGAATCATTCATTCGCCACAATTTAATAAGTCGGTCGTCAGCACCCGAAACTATAAGCGGCATCGAGTGATGAAATGCGGCCCAATTGACTCCTCGATCATGTCCTTCGAGTACGTGCTTAACAATTGCATCTGAAGTACCAAAAAGATCTGTATGGCTGGGATTTCTCATGTGATCATCAAGACCTCCTGGACCGGGAGCAACATTTTTCTTACGCAAACCTGAGATATCCCAAACTCTCACTGTTTGGTCCAATGAAGCGGTAACTACCAGATCATCACTCGGATGGAATTGTGCACTCATAACATAATGGTTATGTCCAGTTAAAACACAGATACAAGTCCTCGACTGCCAGTTCCAGATACGAATTGTTTGGTCATCGGAACAGCTGAGAATCCACGGATACTCGTGATGAAACTGAGTGGTGCGGATGTAGTCCAAGTGTCCTAATAATGTAAATATACACCGACGGGTCTTATAGTTCCACACCTGTCGTAAAAAAAGTGACAATCAATACAATAACATCAATAATAGACAATAGGATTCAAACCTTAATTTTATAATCATCGCCGCCGGAGACCAACAATGGTTGTTGACTATGAAAGTAGACGCCTCTGACGGGTCCCTCGTGTTCATCAAACTTATCAATCAAAGTGCAAACCCGATAGTCCCATAACTGAATCAATCCGTTGTGAAGACTGGCCAAAACCCACGGTCTCTTTGGATGAAATGCAACCCCTTTGACGCGCGCGGACTTTGTCTCAAATTTAGTCAACATTTGTGATGACGAGTGCTGTCGCTCTTCGGATGCCTCTTCTAATGACTTCAACACCAAGAATATCATCAATACATCGATGACTGTCTTTAAAGACAATACAAATGTGGCTTAAATTGTGTGACAATTAGTCAAACACTAGTATTAAGTGATGTATTAGTGATGATGTGGTGCAACACTTGACGCTCAAAACAAATACAACTCAACGGCATTTGACTCACTCTATTGCCGTCCGATGTCATCATATTTGCCGCACTTGTTGTCAATGTTTTTATTTAATTATTATTCATAAATTACGTATCAAAACATTCAAACCCTTTATTAAGTAATTCAATTGAAATTAAATTAACAATTAGTTGACGTAATTGAGTGTCAATTAATAGGAGTTAAATATAACGTAAAGTCAATGAATTGATTGAAAACAAATCCGTGAGAAGTGGTCAACAAAACTGCGACCGCAATGACCGACATATCGACGGCCAAAATGGCGTCTCAATCATTTGATCCGCAAGATTTGGTCCGCGAACTCACATCCAAAGCGTCGGTAAGCATTGATGGACTGTTGGTCGCCCGCAAACAGGTCCAGAGTTTGGCCGACGACACCAACTCTCAGCTGAAGAAAAATGTTTACAAGAATTACTCACTTTTTATTGAAACGGCAAAAGAGATTTCTTATCTGAAGAATGAAATGTTTCAATTGAGTCATCTCTTGACTGATCAACAAAACCTTATGGCATCACTTCTTGATATATCTATTGGCGGACAACGACCCGCTTTGACGGCCATCGAAAAGAAAGAGGCGTTGGATAGAGTAGTGAAGGAACACAAAGAAAAAGTGATTAATTCTACGGTTAATACCGTTTCCAAAGAATTAAGTACTTTATTGGACCGAATTGAAGGAAGTGCTGGCATTCTTGAGACCCGAACTCGGGCTTCAGTTCTCTTCTCTGGAGAACTCATGGAATTGGATTCAAACGAATACAAGATTATTCAACCAATATTTGCAATACTTCTTAACGATGGACTTATTGTTTCGTCAATACTTCCGCCAAATGCTTCCAGAAATCAAAAGAAATATAAATTTCAGTCAATTTATGATTTGGATAATATTGCTGTCGTTAATGTTAAAGACCCAAACTTAGAGACAGCATTCAAGATATTGATGTTTCCCACAACTAAAGTGTTCAGAACTGATTCAAAACAAACTAAGATTCAATGGTTGGATGCTTTCGAAGCAGCGAAGAAACAGAGAAAAGCGTCGTTGACATTACAGAGAAGGGATTCATTGATGTATATATCAAATATGAGTATTGATGGCACAGCTAGTGGTGTCAAAACACCGATTTCTCCTATTGATAGACCTTATGCTTCAATTTTGAATCCTTTTGAAGAGGCAGAACTTCTTGAAGAAGTGAATGAATCTGATACAGAGTTAGTGCCTCAATGGTTGACAGAACTTCCCGAAGATTTAGACGTATGTATTGCTCAGAGAAACTTTGAAGACGCTGTAAGTTTAGTGCTTCGAGTGAATGAACACTTCCAGATGTATCCCAAATGTTGTGATAATATAATGCAAACCGATCTTAAGTTACGAGTAGAGCATAGAATTAAAGAGTTAATCGACGCCCTGACCCACGATTTACAGATAGCACCCGATCGGTCATTACAGACGGGTCCTCGTTCTTCAAGACGTTCGGTGCGCTTATTATTAAAACTAGGAAAGTCTTCGTTGGCCACGAAGTTATTTCTTAACCAAAGAAGTGCTTTACTTAAGTTTTGTTTGAAACAACAGAAAATAGACGGCGCGACTCTTCAGTACATCAAAAGAATGAGTTCCGTCTTCTTTAATAATGTCATCGAAACAACTAAAGAATTTCAGAAAGCTTTTGATTTGAGTATTCAAACAAATGGAGGTTTAGTAGCAACTCCTCCGACATCTTTAATAAACGATAATTTGTGTGTCAATGGAGACAAACTATCGCCAACACAGAGCCAGTCTATTGCATTGTCGATGGCATGTCTAGTCTCGTGGGCTCGGAATCAGTTGAATCATTTTATTGGTTTATTTTCGAGACATGTATTTACCACTCAAGTCTCTCCATCGATTGCAGCTGAATGTGTGGCCATAATTCGCTACCAGTGCTCTAAAATGAAAACATCTATTGGAATGGATTTTCTTTTTTATTTAGATAAACATTTAAAGACAGATATAGAAAGGATTATCACTGAAATAAAAGATAAACTCTTGGAGGCCATCAAATTAAGAGCAGCTGAAGATAAATGGGTTCCACAGAATTTTCATAATAAAATGAAAATTTCAAAGTTTTTAGAAGATATGAAAGACATTGGTATCACATCTTTTGATAAATATATTGTCGACGAATATTGTGTTAATTTAACCTCTAATTCAACCACATTTGCCAAATCATATTTCAATTCTTTGAAAGATTTATTAAAATTAACAAATTCTGTGACTAAAAAATTAGTGATTGAGGCCTTAATTGTTACATTTAAAGCTCAGATGAAACACATCGCAACTTCGCTTAAGAGTCCACTCTTTAAATCGGAACATATGTTCATCGAGAAGAACGCAGCCTTTCTTCTTGATGTTGTTCTTACATTAAATGAGAACTATTATTGTGACAAAATTCAGATCAATAGTTGCGAAGAATTAGCGCGAATGCATTCAGACTACGCCTATCTTAAGGGTGGTATTGAACCAAAACCAAGAGCCAGAAGTAAAACTTCTTCACCCATTAAGACTGCATACACTTCTACTACTTATTTATAATTTTGTTTTATTTATAGTATATTATTAATGTTTTTCTTCTATATATAATGTCATATATTTGATTAATACTCTAAATTTTATTAAATGGCTTAAACAATATTATTAGTTATAATTGAATAAATTTATATAATAAATAAAATTGTTAAACTAATTTAATTAATACTAATAAACTATAATTAATAATTGATAAACAATATCATTGATATAATATACCTGTAGTGTCGAAGTCGGCATATATAGGATATGATTTTTATTACAGTATTAATATATGAATGAAATGTTTGATTACTGGTAATACAATCATTAAAATTATAATTTCAAAAGATTAAAATGTTTTTTGCTATTACAGTATTAAATAGAAAATGAAAAATTTAAATATATCAACATTATTAAAATTAAAGTTGTTTAATTTTTATTATTTAAAAACAATTTTAATCAATAGCTATAATTACGGTAAGATTCAATTATATTTATAAATAAATATTTAGCAATTATTAATGATAGTTTAATTAAAGCTATTAAAACTAGATTTATTAATCTAAATGACATTATAAAATAATTTAAAATTGTTAATATTTATATATTTTAATCAAAAATCAATTACATTGGAATGTCTCGAAAATTGTGACAATTTTCAAAATCTGTTAAAAAGTTATCAAATAAATTATAATAAATTATTCAAATTAATAGTAATATTAAAGATTATAAATAATTACTTTATTAATAATAATTAATAAATAGATTAACGCATAATATGTTTCTATTGTAAATTAATTATCATATATACTGTATCTAAATTTACATAAATTTTTAATAATATTTTTTGATAACTTTGTTTAAATATATTATGTAATTTAGTTTAATTAATATTATTTGATAGTAATTTTAAATCAAATATTAATATTATATATCAATTTTGATACATATTTTTCAAATTAGTTACCGAAGAATAGCTGGTCGATGGACTTGACTTAATAGGAGTTCGGGTTGAGACAGACGACAGTGTCGACAGATTAGTTACAAATCCTTTACTTTTGGTGACAGTCATTGGCGACAGTTCTGGTGGTTTCAAACTGTTAATAAAACGATCAGTGATGCGACTGTTTGGATCAGTTGACAACATTGTGTGTCTCGGAATAACCTTTAATGTATTACCCAAAGAGATCCTATGATTTCTAATAGATTGCAAAGGACTGTATTTCTTATTCATTGAACGAATCGATGGATTTGATAAAATTGTTTCATTTATTTTGAATTGATTTCCATCGATTGAATTCAATGGCGGCTTAAACTGGTCATCAATTTGTGGTATAGTGTTGTCATAAATTGGCTGTTTTTGTGCTTCATTTGTGAACAATTCTTCGCCAAAAGTCTTACTTTCATTGGTTTCTGTTTTAAGTTTACTTTCAAACATTGATTCAAACAGATTAGCCGCCATTGGAGTCGGTTTAACGATATTATTGGACAGTTTTATCTGTTGTCTTAATATCTTGTTTTCATTCTCAAGGTTTTCTATCTTCAGTTGATTTTGAGAGCAATTAGCGTCCAATTGTTGGTTACGAGCAATCAATCCTTTGATTAGACGATTGCGCTGTTGTTTCTGAAAGTTCTCTACTTTTTCAAGTCGTCTGAACTGTGATGTGATGTCTTGAAAGCAGAGTTGTATGTCTGGTTTGGTGGTACTGTTCAACTCAATCCATCGACAAGTATTTGGTCCACATTTGGCGCATTTGTGTATCGCTGTATTCAGACATTCACTGCACATAACTTTCTCGCATTGAGTCAAATAATATTTGATCCGTTGATCAGTGAGTCCATAATGAAGACAAATATTGCAATGAATAAAATCAGACATTTTTTGGATCAGTTGATTGTCGACAATGGATGAGACACTCAATCACTCAAAACCTTATAATGCAATCATTGAGTGACCGATGATTAACATAACGTCAAAGTGTGAGTCAATGACTCAATAATATAACAGTCATTCAAACGATTGATTGATTCAATAGTTTATATAATATATGTTTAGTTATATAAACACTAATTAATTCATTTACTGCTTCTATAGTTTAGTACTACTTTCCCATACTTTTGACAATTTTAGACATTCAATGGTAAGTATTGATGTATAGATAAATTTAGAAATATTTCACTGTATTATACAGTACTGTAAGTTATATCAAATAATAATCAAATTAATTGTAAATATCAAACAATACATATTTAACAAAATGTTTGTACAAAAAGATATTGTAATTAACGTGAGTTATAATCAATACATTAATATCTAGAGAGAGATATATAGATATATAGAGAGAAAAGATTTAAATTATTTTTTAACCCTTTCATTGAATTATTTGATTTTATTGAAAATGAATTCTTCTGAAGAAAACAAAGATAATAATCAAAATGAAAAAAAAGATGAAACTAATGCTGATTTAAAAAACAAAAAACAAAGTGTTAACAACACGACATCGGAGACATTGAAGACATCCGCAACCAATCCAAGTGACATCGGTATCAATCGGGAAACAAAATCTGCCGAAACACTCAACAGAAACATATCGAAAGAAGGCCGAAGACAAGGAGTAGAAGCACTACTCAGAACTGATAGTACTTCTAGTGATACATCTTCTGGTATTTCTATGCATTCAAATCCTGTTCAAAGTTCTCACAGACAACCAAAGCGAGTGAGAGGTAGAAATGGATCAAATTATCGAAAGTTAAATTCAAAAAAGAAAAAAGAAAGAAAAAAGAAAAGAAAAAGAAGAAAACGAAGAACAAGAAGAAGAAGATATGAATGAAAAGATGAAATAGTTGTAGAAAAAGTAATATCAATGAAATGATTGCTTAAATAAAACATATGTTTTCATAAAATTTATTTTTTATTCAATAATAACCGGTTATTATTTGTTTAAAATTGATTTAATATTTCAAATAAATATAAATAAAAATCATTTAAAAACAATAATTTATTATTTACTGCATTAGATTAAAATAACAATTTTTGTAATATAAAAGTAATAAAAATTTTCAAATAATAGTCATCACAATATTGTTTTTAGTGAATAGTTGTACTTTGAAGTGATTTTTGACATAAATGAAGAACTAATGGTGTGTCTTAAGCCAGACTACCAGTGCTCCCACAGCAAACCCAATGAGTAGCGGTACGGCATTGCGCTTCAATGATGCGGACATTTCTTCAATTGTCGGTACTTTTGGATCCATTCTCACTGTCAATCAATTGGTTTGAATGCACTTTTTGTTTGTCAAATACTATAGCGAGACTATAGTTTGATTAACTGATTTTTAAAATTGTAATCAATTAAATTCTGTTTAAAACAAATCATATTAATTGTTAACAATTTACACGCAGACAATACAATCTGAATTATAAAATGCATTAAATTTTTTTATTTAATTTAATTTATATGAATTAGATTCAATAGTTTGGGAATGGTATGATAGGGTAAGGTATGATATGGAAGGGCATGATATGATAGACATTTTAATTGGTTGGATAGTATTAATGGGATGAGTTAGGTCTATTTTAGGTTAATCGGAAGTTTAAAGCCCAGTGATAAAACAGTGTTTTTTCAACGGAAAATGCTTGTTTTGGTCCTAAATAACATATTCCGATAAAAATAAAAGTGCGGAAACACCTAAAACCTACTCAAAACTGACCTAACATACCTGACCTGACATACATAGCATAACATTACAGTAATCTAATTGTTATTGTAAGCGCGAGAATATTACTATTGATAAAACTTAATAATAATACATTATTTTTAGAACTAAGCGCGAGATTAATATTTTTAATATTAATTATTCGATAGATTAATTTTTTTTAAACCCCCAGTATTATATAGATTAGGTTAAGTTACCATTGAAAATAAGGTTAGGTTACGGATCGAACACCAGGTTAGGTAACGGAGCGAACACTAATACATTAGGTTAGGTTAAGTTAACATTTGTGTAATACCATTATAATTAGGTTAAGGTTGCGGATCAAACACCAGGTTAGGTAACGCGACAAACACTGATTCGGTAACCCCAGTACTGTATAGATTAGGTTAACATTGAAATTTAGATTAGGTTGAGAACGAACAACATGTTAGCTATTTATTATATAATTATATTATGAAAATGTTTTTATAATTATTTTATAATTGTTAATAATTATAATTTTTATTCTCGTGCTTTAATGCATGATTAATAATTTCTATATATTAAAGTTTGTTTTTTTACACTATGTTTATGTATGTGGGGTCAGTTATGTTATGTTAGATTTGAGTAGGTTTTAGGTGTTTCCGCACTTTTATTTTTATCACTTAATGTTTTTTAGGACCCATAAAAGTATTTTCCGTTGAAAAAACACTGTTTTATCACTGGGCTTTATACTTCCGATCGGCCCTATTTTATTATCATTAACTATTACTATATAATAATAATATACATTAGTTAGTATTTTGAGTTAATTACTATAAATTTTAATTGTTTTGTTTGTGTGTGAAATGGCAACAATCAATGTGTGCTAATATAAAGTGCTAACTACTGTATTATATTAACTGTTTATTTAAATATTGAATTGACATTTAACTTTGTAGTCTAACTTATAAATAAATGTTTTCAAATATTTCAATTGAATTATTTTTTAGTTATAAAAATGCTTTATCTGATAGTAATTTTGTTGTCTTTGATACGATTGTCTACTAATAAGCCGATTCCAGTCAAAGAACCACAAGTTATTAATATGAAAATGATTGATATAACACAAAGACATACAACTGTTACCAATAATTCTCAACTTTTATATCATACGAATCCAGTAACGCATACTTTTGCTAATGTCTTTTGTAAGTAATGATTAAAATTTATTTAAAATACAATAATTACCGTAAGTATAATTTAAACCAATTATAAGTTCATAAGATATCCATAGAAGAAAATAAAAACACAACTCATGAGGTAAACAATAGTATCAGTTCATCACCGGTAATGAGTATATCATCGACATTAACAAACAATCATATCATTAGTAGTTCTAAAACTATTGACACAATTACCTCAAAACCACTTATATATATGAATGAAAAGTCAACCCAAAGTCAATCCAAAAGAAGTAATCACAACAACAACAGTAATATCAATCATTGGTTTCCATTTATCTTTATTTTAAGTATAATACTATTTTGTTTGGTTGGCATTGATCCACAACAAGACCTTCATCTCGAGTCTTTAGATATCAACTGATTTTTTATAATAAAAATATTTTTTTCCATAATGTTAATTAATTAACGAATAAAAGTAAACGATTATAAAAACAAATTTAATTAAATTATCAAAACCATTGAACTACATAATGATTAGATTAAAATAATATTAATCATTAAATAAATTCAAATTTCGATTAATGTATGTATCAATGAGTGGTTCATCACATATCAACGTCTGCGTCATCGATCTTTGGCGCCAAATAGTAACGAATGTAACCGATTTCAGATGGATTCTCATCGTCGTTGTCCGATATCTTGTACTCAACAACTAAAATAAATAAAATTATCATTTATTTTGCATAACTTAACCTATGGTTGAATTACTAACCCAATGGTACATCTGGTGACATCTTAAGAATGACTTGAGCTGACAATGGAGTAGCCTTTGCGAAATGATTCAAATACTTGAGTGCAAATGATTGAACCAAAGCCTCTTGCATTGAAATTTGAACCGTTTCTTCAAGTTTGTCAGCATTAGCCGTTTGAGACAATCGAATAGAACCCGAACCGAGATCACCGGTGGCACCGAAGCGGACGCCATCTTTAGCACACGATATGGTGACCGCATCTCCGATTTGACTCAAATCACGACAAATGCGTTGGAATTTAGCCGAAGGCATCTTAATGGTCACGTTATACGACGTATCCTATAATGACAATCAAATCAATAGTCGGAAAACATTATAATTGCCAAAACACAAAACTCACCGGAATTCCCAAGTATTCTGAGTCTAAATTCATTAATTTAATTTCATATTCAGCCACTTCTGCCTCATCTGTGGTGGAAATTAACAAAAAAAAACATTCAATTAATAGGCAAAATAAAATTGGTCTCAAATCCAACAAAAGACATACTCTGAGCCTCAAACAAAAGCATGATTTTATCGCCGCCATCGCCGGCCTTAATAGTAATCGTATCGTCATTTGCAGCGCATTTGATTATTTTTGAGAGACTAATGATAATCAAAGACAAAGAAAATTAAATATTAATTGTAATAAAAGAGATTCAAAGTGTCAAACCTAATCAAATTCATGCCAAGAGTGAGATTGCGATCACAGCGATACTTATCAAAGCCGTCGGAAAGCAGTGAGACGGCCACAAGTGCCACATGACTCGTGTCCATCGCCTGCAAAGACATGCCATTTGGTTGACAGTCCCAACTGGCGTCTGTTACTAAGTCTTTAATGGCATCCAATATCTTCTTGAGAATTGTTCCATGAATAAGACGTGCCTCAAACATGACTGACCTATGAATGTATTGTCACCGACTATAAGACAATCAAAACAATGATAAGTGGATCCAATGTGTGGACAATGTGTAAGCAATGAATGACAAGTGATGTTCAAAATGAGACAATTGTTTGATTCATTCATTCAATGTATTGATTCACACATTTAAGCGCCAAATGTCACTACAATTGCGCTCAAAATGTGCAATCATTGAGGGATTGTCTCTCCATTGATATACTATTTACAACATATATTAGAAATATAAGCACAAAATCATTTACAAACAAACAAAAAATTAATACATTTTATTATACGATTGCTTTTATACTATTTATTATATGATGAAACAATCGTATAATAAAATGTATTAATTTTTTGTTTGTTTGTAAATGATTTTGTGCTTATATTAATACAGACATAAATATTATACAATAATATAAGTTTAAATATAAGTGAAAAACTAAAGTAAAACAATTAATATAACATTTAATATGCATTTAAATTAAATGATTGAATATTTTAATAATAATGTTATTATTTGTATGCATTAAAACTAATTAATAGTATTTAAATAAAATAATTCAATAAACTCTAATGTTTTCAATACATGTATCTTATAAAATGTAAAATTATGAATTGTAATTTGAAATGATCTTTATTTCATATATACTTTTATACATTAGCTAACAATTAAAACTAAATTATTTAATTTTTCCAATTTTAAATTCATTTAATATAATTGTAAAAATTATGATCATTATCATTATTTATTTATTTATTTACAATATTTATACATTAATTGCTTTTAGCTCTTAATATAATAGTCATTAAAAGAATTAAATTAATTTTATATAAAACAAATTAACATATTTTCAATCAATAAACTAATGATTTAAAAGTAAACCAATTATGAATGTTGTAATATAATAACAACCAAATATCTTAATCCTAGTAACTTATTACACAAAAAGTTAAAATATATAATAAATCATTTAGTAAAAAATCAATTAAATTGTAAATTAAAATTTTAAATATTTAATATGTAATTCTACTGAATGGGTATAAGTTGCAGGGAATCGGTATTAAGTTAGTCGGAATCACTGTATATATAATACCGCATAAAACGATTTTCATCAATTGGTTGTTTAGGTATGACAACAGAGCTCAACGTCAATGGCCTCGTTGTTTGATTATTAGCCGAAGAGTTGTTAGCAAAATATGTGTAATCAGTTTGTAAACTATTATTTGACTCCAGATATCTTCTGTTGTCAAATGTTGGTGAAGATCTTAATCGTCTGGTATCTGAATTATATTTTCGATGAGCCTTATGTTTGTGTCCTCTTTTTTTCTCTCTTTTAGTCAAATTTCTCAACTCTTCACAACTGCTCGAAGAACTCGTCGATGAGCTCGTTGTCGATGTTGTAGATGAAGAGCGCGAACGCTTTGACCGTCGATGTGATCGGTATTTATGCTTCTCTTTACTTCTATTTTTGTCTTTATTTCGGTTCTTATGTTTGTATTTCCTATTAGTGGTGCAAACGTTCGGATCATTAGAATTGTTGGCAAAACTTTGAGACGGCGACCAAACTCTTGTATGCTTTTTGTGTTTCTGTTTATTTCTTTTACTTTTTTCAACTTTTCTATCACTATATTTATTGTCTTTAACACCATTTTGTTCATCACATGAAATTAAATCTATAAACTCTGGAGTCCTTTCATGTAATGGCTTAACGTATCCAACAATTTGAACAGAACTACTACTACAATCAGAATTGTTGTCATCATTGTTATCATCAGTTTTCTTATTATCGGTATTGGTCTCGATCTTCACTTCCGATTTGTAATTGCGCTCAAATCGAGCGATTGCAGCCTCGAGTTCATTGCCCACATCGACATCTGTGGTTTCACTATCAGACCATTTAGAGTTAGCAGTCTCTCTTCCTCGTGACAAACCACTAGTTCCCGGTTGAGGATTATTCAAATCTTCAATTATGTCAATATTGTTTAATATTACGTCCGAATTATTTTCACGTGAAGTCGTATCAGAAGATGAGCCAATAATAACAGCTTTTGTTTTCAAATTATTTGAATTCGCACAAACAGATTGTGTGCTTCGTGGCGATGGTGTTATCAATTGTCGTATCTCTGTGGATGACCGACAACTATCAGAATTATCTTCGTTATTAATTTGCCAAACATTTGGACTAAATGATGAATCATTTTGTTGCAAATCGTTGTCTGAAGAATTTGATGGACTTCCAGTGATATCCTGTGTATGACAATCCAATATTTGGATACTCGAGTCATCACTTGATATTGAATCCGGTGTTTGTGATCGATGTGATCTACGATTAGGTGGTGAAGCAATATCTGGATCTAAATGATATCCTAAGGGAACGGGAAGTGCTTCAGAATCGACAATATCAGCTCTATGTCGGGGAACATAAATAGATAATCGTGTGTATTGTTCCATATCATGTGGACTTCGGGCAAAGTTATAGAATTCGTGAATAAAATGATTAGTTTTATTTAGAAGAAATGTTGCAATGATTTTCTTGAAACCAACACTTGTTATGTCATACATAAGCAATGCATTCATAATTCGCGGAATTAATGTTTCTGTTTCGTTAGGGTTTTGAAGAATTGCATTCAATTCTCGATTAAGCCATGGAATCAATCTATGAGTACACGCGGGGTTTGAAGAGAAGAATCGCGCCGACACTTCCCGAGTGCGACTCGTATTTCCGTCACCGTTGGTCAACACCCATAGGTCAGAATCGTATACATATCGTCTATGCGCTGAAGTACCCACTGGTGGTGGAAATATATCTAATTCAAGTGGATTGGGATAAAAACTAGGAGTCCAACCACGAGATGCAGGATATCGACCAGAAATCATTGGGTCTTCACCTCGCAGTCGAAATCGTTCATTAAAACCAATTAGTGGCGAGTTTCGGGAATTGGATGGACTGTGCGTACGGGTGGCACTATTTCTTATGGTATTATTATTATTGATTGCATTACTTGAATCATCATTTCTTAGCCTTTGTTCCCGAATTCTTCTGTTATCAAGTATTTGTAGAAAATTTGAAAAATTGTGATAACGGGTGACCGAGGGATTCAATTCATTTAATTGCAGATCAATCATATGTCGACGAAATGGAGTCATTGTTGTCGGGTATCGGAAACGTTGACTTCCCTCGAAGTTGAAGAAAGCGTGGTAACCAAATGGCGGATGAAAATGAGGGCCCACTCGTGGTCTATGACTCGTTTGGATCACATGTTCATCGTAGTCGTCCATCGCTCGGATGTTGTAAATAATTCGGTCAAATGATTGCCGACATACGGGACACTCGGCCTTCACTTTTGCCCATTCAAAGAGACATAAACGACAAAAACTATGAAAGCATTTGTCAGCAAAAGACTTGTTTTCAATTTTTCCCAAACAAATGGCACAATTTGGTTCTGGAGATAATGATGGCGAACGTCCTCCAGTACTAGTGGACGAAGAAGACTGAGTCAATGAATACCACTTCTTTGAATTCAATGGATTTAAAGGTGTCTTCGGCTCGCGAGTCGTCGTACTCTTGGAGGCCATCGTAAAGGTATTCATATATTATATTATCAATTAATTTAATTATTATATTGTCTTCAATGGCTCTAAACTATTGACCAAAAAATGGGAAAACAGTTGTTTCAGTGATTTGAATGATAAATCTGAGGTAAAAGTGATTTATGTTTTGAATAACTATTAAGAAAATATGATATAAAAAATTGGATCAATTGTAGTGACGATTGAGTGCTTCAATGGTTGACTCGTCAGTGCTTTGTGTGACACAAATGTCTACTCATTTGACACAATATTTGGTCACTAAATAAACCAATCATTGCTTTAAATGTCATATAATTATAGATTACTTAATAAGACATTCAATACAATTGAGTACAATATGTAACATATATTCACTTTTTCTATGTTTTGTTTAGTCGATTGCAAACAAATTGTCGACAATTTGTAGACAAGTGTCGCATAAATACTTGCCTTTCATATGATTACAACATTATACAGTTTATGCCACTTAAAAGTTTAAATTTGAGTAATATTATATAATGCTTTAGCCAAGGTACTGTATATAATTTATCTAACATTAGGTAACTGTATACTATGTTACATTGCTTAGTGTAAAGTTAACTGTATACACGATTAATTACTCAAATTTAAACTTTTAATTGGCATTATCTGTATAATCAAATATTTCTTAATAAACATAATAAAGGACTTAACTCTATCAACAATTTTTCTACTTTATATGTATGACAATCACTTGTGATTACAATGAAATTGACTTATATATAAAAGTACAGAAAATGTCGTTGAATATGCCTTTAATGCTTTGAATGGGTGTCACATATGATGTTAGACTCCACCCAATGCTTTGAAAATAATTTTATAAAACAATACATTCAAGAGTTGATTGCATTGACTATTAATACTACAGTAGTATTACTAATACTTTACATTATTTTTAAAACATTGATTGAAAACTACAATATTTTGCAATTATAATGAAAACATTGAATTTGATATCAAATGTTAAGAAAGCATTGAATGGCAATTCATTTGACTGATTAAACACTATTAATATTTTATAAATTATAATGACTTGGCTTTAGTGCACTTAATCTGTAAACTGATTAATAAAATTAGACTATTTTTGTATAATTGACTTTTAAATTATATTTTAAAAATATGATAAATATATAATTTACATTATATACACATTTCATATTTGAAATTACATTATCTAATAAATTATTTGATAAAATGATATCTTAAAAACTAATAGTAAATGCTATATAATTAATAAAATATCACTAATGAAAATGTTATATTATTTTAGATAAATTTCTTCTCAGTTTTCATCATATTTTAATTATAATACTATTATACTGTATATCATATGAAAAATATGATAATAATTGTCATTTGTTTGTTGTTTAATTTATTTGATCGCAAATCAATGATATATATGATTGAATTATTTAAATTATGTGATAAATCGATACTATGGTAAATACAGTACAAATCTAATACTAAACTTTTTGTTTCACTAAATTATTGTATTTTATTATTATTTTTATTAACAAATTATGATTCGTTTTATAAAATAACATTATTTTAGTATAAATGGCATTATTAGTGAATTTTTATGTGTTTCATGAATTAATATTATTTCAATATTACTATAAAACAGACTATAGTCACTATACAGTACAGTAAACATTGAAATATTTAAATAAATAAGTCGACATCTAATGAAAACTTTTGTAAGGCTTTTTAATGTCAATTAATTGTTATATCGCTATTTATAAATTAAATACAAATTAAAATAGTTTTTCAACAATATTTGACTAAATAGTTGACAAATTAACAAAAAAGATTAACAAATTATTCATGTTTTATGAAATAATAAATATATTGTAATTACAAATCAAATATTTTTTTTGTTCGTATCAATAAAGAAAATTATGGGTAATATTATGATATAAAAAACAAATGTTTTAAATAAAATATTCTCTGATTTAACATATATATAGTCATATGGTATTAAATTTCAATTATTTATAACCAAACAAATGTTAATTAATGCATAAATTGATGAATTAATGAATGGTCCCATTCTTCAATATTTATGTTATTATAAATTTATATTGTTTACAAAAATTATAATTTTTTCAACAATTTCCAGTAAATAATACTATGTTTATATATTTAAATTATATACAAATAAATAATATTAGAGTGACCAATGTTCAAACAATAAGCATTATTTTCTCATCTATTATTATTATTATTAATTATAAGATAACTCTTTACACAAATGTCATCTCAAATAAGAGGCTTAAAATAAAATGTAATAATTATTATAAAATAAAATAATTATTTAAACAATTTATATAATAATTATTATTTGTTATATAAATTAATCATTGGTATTTGTTTATAACAAGATTTCAATTAGTTTTCATTATATCAAATAACTTGTAACAAAAAACCAAAAAAATGGCATTAAATAATTTATGACAATTGTTATCCATTCATAAGTAATAGCGTATATCATAATCTTATAATTACGTTAAATATTTATTTGCTATTATCATTAAATATAAAAACTATAAAACAAAAAATTTAGACAAAAAAGATGTGTCGAGTGATGATCGATGGATTGATTTCAATAATTATAAAATATGTTTTAAATGTTAGTATTGGTATTTGAGTTAACGTTAGAGTCATTAATTAGTGAAGATGTCGATGAAATAGGCTGTCGTCTGATGAAATCTGAACTAACATCAGAACCAATTGTTTGAGCACTGGTTGTTGTTATGGTATGTGAGGCTGTTGTGACTGAGTGTTGCTGTTGTTGTGCGACCCAATCACTCGTCAAATGCGGGTTATGGCTGTTATGTGTCGGATGGTGTGAATTCACTGAATGACAAACCACTTTTGCAGCGCTTATACCGCCACTGCTGACACTACTTAAGACACTATCACTACTACTTTCACTCTTTTTGTAATATCCGTTGACATATGAGCCAATAGTAGCACCACTTAAATGGCTGGAGTTATTGCTTCCGGAGTCACATAAACTGTTTATATTTGGATATTGTGTCGACAAATCGTCCATTAATATGTGATCCGATTTGTGTGGACTTAGATTTTGTGTCGATGGCGATGATCGATAAGATTGATGTAACTGTTTGTTTGAAGACTGGATGTTATTTAGTGATGAAGACGATGAGGACATATTAGTGAGCGCCATATTTTCTTGTTCGTCGAGAAAGCGATCCATATAATCACTAAAATTATAATCCATTTAATAATAAATAATAAGTTATGTCTATCGTTGACTTACGTCGTTCCCGGATGTAATGAATACTTTTTCTTTTCTAATCGAAATTTAGTGGCAAATAAATCATGTCTTTCAGTCTTTTTCCATAAATAGTAAAACTGAACCAATTCTCCTACAGATCTTGTTCTAACCTAAACCCAAATCATATAAATATTCGTTAATTAGCAAAACTATTGAAAAAGTAATCATTTAATAAAATACTTTATTTTGCTGAACTAAATGAAAGTCTTTGCCATAACTTCTTAATCCAACCTCAAATGCCTTACATTCTTCCTCAGACCACGAGCTCATGGATTCATTAACGATAGGAAGATTATGTTGGGTTTTCTTTCGTCGTATGGCTTCATCAACATTGTGGCCGCACTGATGTAAGAGAAAGAGAGCCTGTTCATCGTCTCTAATATGAGATCCGGTGGGCAATAATGTTGATGAGACAACTTCTTCACCATTTTCATCAGTTTGAGAAAACTTTATCAAATATTCTTCAATGTCTTTGTCGGTTAAAAATGACGGATTCCATAGCAGTCTGTCTTCATTTTCATATGCAGGTGCGCCGTCATATCGAGACAAACCTTCTGGTATGGAGGCCTGATAGTCGGAGCCCACTTGAATAGTACGCCTCCAATCCTCCTCATTGGCAGAAAAATCTTCATCAGATTCATCATCAGATGAGTCGCTGACCATATTTTGGTTATTGATGTGAGTGAAGGTTTGAGAGGAACGTAAGTGCGAGACATGAGAAGCGACGATCAATTGACTAGTAGTTGAATTACTATTGGGTTCACACGTCAATTGGGAAATGGATTCACCCGACGGTGTAGTAGATGTGGCCTCAGCTCTCTCTATACTTTTATCACTACTTGAGGCCACTTTGTCTGTATAGCCATACATTGCCAAAAGCTCTTCTAAAGGCATTTCGCCCTCCTTTACATAAAACACACAATTAGTTACAATAAATTTGATAACATTTTGTGGTAAAAAAACATTAAATAATTCATACCTTTTGTAAGTCGTCTATCTCTTCGTCACCATTCATATCATCATTAATAGCTTCTTCTTCATCGAGTGTGTGCTCGTCATCGAAGTCATTGACTAACATATCGGCCGTCGGGTCGAAGTCCTGGTCGCTGTCTGTCATCATAACAATACATCAATCAATATAATCAATAATTTAATTATAATTGATAATCAAGTTTTGTTTCAAATCTTTAATAAAATAAATCAATGGATAAGACAATTGTGCAAACATTGAAATGTTATTATTATTCAAATTATTATTAAATGTTAAATAAATAAAAGTATTAAAAAAATTAACAATAATTTTATTATAAATTATATTTAAAAATATAATCATAATATCAAATATTTATTATATAATTGAATCAATTAAAGTATATTAATATATAAAATGTCATAAATGTTGTGTTTATGTTATATATATATATATATAGTGTGTCTCTGTATGTAAACAAATACAATGTTTGCTCAGTAGTACTGACCCGCACTCGACTCACTAGCACTGGGATGTTGTGGGCCAGACATCAATGACACTTACGGTGATTGACCACCAAATGATAGAGCACTTGATTTGGATGACAATCACTGGATTGACAACAAATTAGGTGCACTTGTGGTCAACAGTGCAGTGATGTGTCAAATGGTATATCAATTGAATGATTCATTGTTTGTCAGCCATTAGTGTTGGGAACCGGATATCACTTACACTCAACTGAGTCGACGTATTGTATACTCAAACACATTAACTGTCAAACAATTGTCATTATATAACATAAATATTACACAAACCAAACCAAACCAAACCCAACCCAACCATTCAATTACATGACATCCTATCCCTATATCCTATAATCCCAATAACTATTTTTAAATAATAATTTTCAGTATTATTTATAATGCCTTTACTCTCACAAACTTTATCTAAAAGTTAATAGTTTTGATAACTTACGTAATCTTAATACTGTATTATACAGTAGTTGTATGATATTTGTATTGAAAATAATGGAGAGCACCCACCTATTTATGCTTACTGTCCATAGTATGGTAGACTTGATGGACTCCATACAATTATTGTATAAATTATTTTATAAGTAATAATTTTGTAATATAATTATAATATATAATGTATAAAATGTATTAAAATTGTAAAAATGATTTTCAAAACTAATATTTCTAACATATTTGCAATCATTTAAACAATTTTCATACAATATATTGACTCTCTGTCATCAAAATGTATATAAAGTTTATTTGATTGAATTGACACTATCCATGACACTAACAAACATTAAGCTAATAATAGTATTAAATATAATGATTTAAATATTAATTTAATCAAATTAATTATGAAAGCCTTTAGTAAATGTTTTAATTGAATGATTAGCTATAAGTAGTGATGTACCGATTGCAAAATGCGCAATTGCATTGCTTGGAAATTGCGTGAAATTGCCGCAATTGCAAAAAGCTCGATTGCGAAAATCGCAATTGTAACATAAAAAAAATTATAATTTTTAAACAATTAACAAAATTTAAATGGCAAAGCAATATGAATAAAAACAAATTAATTATATAAAATTTAATTATTTTATCATAAAATGTTGACATCTAAAAACCATGTAAAAATAATAATAAATTAGTAAATTCTCTTAATCTATTGTAAACAAAATTTTTAACGTTGTCAAAGTTAATTTTTATACATTCCCTCATGCGCGCAATTTCAAGCAATTTCACGCAATTTTCCGCAATTGCGGCAATCGAAAATTGAATTGCGAAAAATTACCAACACAAGCTATAAGAGAGCAAAACTTTATGTGGTTTTTCACTGATTGTTTAGATAAATGTATTTTAAAGAAATGTTTATTATTTAATAAATTCAATTACACTATAGTTTGAGATTTTCAGGCAATTATTAATTTATAATTTTATATTTAATAAGTTTATACTACAAGGTGTGTTTGTTTTAGTTTTTAATTTGTAAAAAAGTTAATGTATTTATAATCAGTAAATATTAATATGATATATACTGTACTTATAAATGTTGTACTGTTTTTATATATAATTATATAGGTTTTAAAGTTTTATATAAGTTGATAATACAGTACATAGTACTGTACCGTATATAGTGTATTATAACATTAGCTACAATTATTATATAATATTAATAATACTGTATAGCAGCTATACTATAGCAGCTATAGTATAGCTTATAAATTACTGTTTTTATTAAAAGTTTATCAATGTTTGCAATCAAAATAGAATCTAACATTAGCATAATTTTTAAAACATTGTATTTTTATTATAATCTTATTTTTTAGATTAAATTTATAGATTTGCATCATAATAATATTATACTATAACTTAAATTAACAATATTAATTATATAAAACATATATTATAAATTATGATTTATAATGTAATAAAGTAATAATGCAATACATGCAGTATTGGTATATCATATTAATACATTACATTAATATTTCAGTTTTTAACATTTTTACTATATGTTACTTATAAGCTATTTTTTAGTATCGTAATTAATAAATACCTTAATTTGATTATTACTACTAAATTAATATCATATTAAAATTTAGTATATTTTTAAAGATAACTAACAAAATACTGTTGATAAAAATCATAAAATTTAATTAGTAAAATGCAATATTTTAAAAAGTTTTATTTTGTTTATAAATTCATTTATTGTAATTTAATAAATTTAAAAATATGAATCATATGAATCTTAAATTATGATTATTACAATATTTTGACTAATGTGAATTATTGTTTATATTTGTTTGTTTGTAGAAAATGCATTTTTAATAAATAATATTATAATTTAATAATAAATAATATAATAAATATTTTCAATATATAGATATATACAACTAGAGATATAAATTTATATATATAATAATATTTACAAATAGAAAAATTATCATGTTCAATTAGGACTGCAAATCAACTGCATTGTGGTATTTGACATATTTGTAATTGTTTTGGCTTTTGATCTAAATTGCAATATTTGTTATCAATTATAGCAAACAAATTATTGGATGTATTTTGAATGCAAAACACGGTTAGTGTCCGATAAGCGCGACCACACGTTGCCGTACAGGCCGTCCACTCGTAGGTTTTCCATCTTTTATGTAAAAATTAATTATTTTTAGTATTTATCTTTTAAATATAAAATAAAATATTGTGATATTTAAAAATAGTCTAATTTTTTCTATAGATTTTCCACATAAAAGATAAATCATTATTTTAAGATATTTATGTAATAGTTTTGAATTATGTTAACATCATTTATTAAGTTAAGCATCAATTAATTTATAATGATTTATAATGATTTAAATTTACAACCTAAACTAAACTATATTATATTATAACACAATTATTAATACAGTGAAACAATAGCAAAATATTAATGAATGAATTACCTGCCAATACATGGTTGCAAATTGCAGTGTTCAATGGTGTTGTGGACTGGTTTGGTATTAGCATTGCACAGGGAGTCGTCTACTCTATACTTCCCAACATGACATTGAACTTCAATTTTTCTAAACCCTTGTCCACAATAGCGGTCACATTCACTCATTGATATACTCCAGACATAGGGTTCAACACTTAATGTTTGGTTTGTGTTATCAGAACTGGACAGTAATATAGGTCGTGAAGGGTTAGGTGCCGACCATGTATTTGGTAGAATAGGTGTCCAATTGTTTCTACTAAACCAACTGGCATTTTCTGACTGTATATCTGTATGTTCCTGAACACCGGATTTCCTAAATATCATTTTGTTTGACCTCTTGTGTCGGTTGTGATGCAAATATTCATCACTAACTAATTGTTTGACTTGTACTCTACCGCTTGCATCTAAGCGTATAAATTAATTTAATTGTAATTAGATTTTTATTCACAAATTTTATAGTATTTAGTATTTATTTTTAAACCTGAATCAAAAGGCATATTATTTTCGTCAAATTTAATACATTTCCCATTCAAACAATAAGCATTTTTTGCGGAACCAAAGCTACAATCGGTGCCAAACGGGAACTTTCCGTCGATAAAAGCATCCATTTGGTAGTGGATGTCCTTCCAGATCCTGTCCTGACAGGCAACTATACACCCAGAGTTTATATTTGCTTCAAATAATTAAAAAATTAATTATATTTATTATGCAATAATTTCTGTATTATTTAGATATACTTGTTTGGGAAGACAATTGCTTTCCGAGTCCACTAAGTAATGTCGGATATTTTATTTGATATTTTTGGCAAATTTTGTTGGCGTATTCCTCTGGTGTGTCCAAAATGTTATTACAATAATCTTTTTGATCGTCACATAATTGAAATGATTCCCTTTTTGGGCCACAATTAGATCTGAAATTTTCAGTTTTAATTTAAGTTTATTTTTACACTTATAGTATAAAATAGTTTTATACTATAGATGTAGAGATTCTCATAATATAATTCAAAACTTAAAAATTTATACTGGTACAAATAATTATTCATATACAGTACTAAAGAAAACATTATAAGTTAAATATATTTTAATGTTTTATCTATACTGTATACAAATTAGTTTGTTTTCTGACTAATTAAGCGATTTATAATATTTAGAAATGTTAATATCTGATAAATTTTAATAAAATAATAAAAACAACAAATAATTAATTTCATTATTTATTTAGTGTATGTTTCCATATCATAATAATTTATTTGTAAGTGTATTATGATATAATAATTTGTTGTTAAAACAATATATTTTAATCCATTAGATTAAAGCTATTGTTTGATATGTAAAATTAATTTTACAGATCAATCAAAATTGGAGTAAAAGATATAATATTATAGGATTTGCAAAATATTTGTTGAAATTGATTAAAATTGAATTAATTAAAACTTACATTGAATTACAATCTCTACTAACGAGTCGAAAGCCCTTTGATTTTGTCTGACAATTATATCTGCATTTACTTATGGGATACCAATGACCCCACCCGTGATCCTCAGGGTTTTCGTAAAGCAAGTCTATGTATAAATGTATTCATTATATAAGTGTTATATTATATAAAAAAGATATATATCTCGCTATATGTATGTAAAAAACAATTAACCCAAATGTTAGCCTTACTTGAACTGGAAGTGCATTGTTCTCCATTGACAACACTTTCATGTTTAGCACCACTTTTACTGAAACCATTGCAATCAAAATAACGACACTCGCCATCAAAACAATACCGATTGTTATAGGACTGACCATTACCCTCGTGACCACCACATGGAGAACCATCTGGTATTTTCCATCCCTGTGTCAAATAACCTCCTCCTTTCTTATGACACCAAACATAACATGAATGTGAAACTATAAAATCAAACATATATATAATGTATAGGTTGTGATCGAAAATTTAAAAATAAATATTAAAATTAATTTAATTTATTATAAATGATTGATTCATTTATTACAGTCATAACTAGGATATTGTGTTCCTCTTTGCTCTAAATTGCTATTTCTTAGAGCCGCTGCTCTACACGTGTCGCTTATATAGTCTTCAATTGATATAATACTTCGATATGAATAGGAGTTACATATCTATAAAATATAAAATTAGTTCATTCATGTGTTGATTCATTTTTTATTATTATTATATTATAGTATTGATAAATTCAAATTAATTTTTTTGTTGTATTCAAAATTTACTTGAAATCAGATTTAATAAAATAGAGTATTGATAAAAATTGTAAAATTTTTACCATAACAAAAAAATTACTTTTACCTAAATATTTTTATAACAAAATTAATTTAAATAATTGAATTGAAACTTAAGCCTTTCATTATTATTGTTAACAATTGAGAGCAATTATTAAGTGAATTATGTAAATGTTACAAAACCCGAGAAAATGATATACATTTTTTAAAAATATGGTTAAATTATTTAAATAATATCATAGCCTATATATCATATCTTTAATATGAATATTGTTAGTTTTAGTGAAAACATGTAATTTAGTTTAAATTAAATTTTTTAGTTTTTCTTAAACTTTTATTTGTTTTTTGCTGAGATTTTTGTTGTTGTTATGCTATAAATAATATTATTAATAAATATGAGTAACAATAACTAATTATGTAAAATTTCGTGACCATTTAAGACATGATTATAAGGTTAATATGAGGTTAGCATCAATTTAAGACTGGTTTTGAGTAACAGTATTACCAATATTAGGATTCATCATTAATATTTATTATAGCAATACTATAGTCTTATTGTTACTCTATTTTTAGCTATAATATATTATTAAGTGTAGATAATAAAGTGATAGTATTAACAACAACAAAATATTAACTTCTTTAAATGCTTTAATAATATATTTTTTATCGCAAAATTCATGTAAAAATAATCTGATTGTTGACTAAACTATTGTTTTTTTAATACTAAAAATTAGAGTTGGCTTTAATAAAGCTTTAGATGTTTCACCAAATAATTCATTTTTAAATAGATTTTAACGCATCTTTTAAATATTTTATTAAAACTATTGTTTACTTTCGGGTTTATTTAAGACATTTAAAGTTCAAATAACATAGTATTCAATTCATTTTTAAATTCAATATTAGTTAAATATATTTAACAAAATAACTTATTTTAGTTTACAATATTTCTAGTATTTGTAAAGTTTCTTTTAATTTTTTAACTATAGTTAATATAACTTATATGAAATTATCTGTGAACTTCTATTTAAATCAAATTTGCATTAAAACTATTATAGAAATTATATAACTTATGTCATATATATAATATTAGTTTAAAACAGATTTAATAATTTTATAGTTAAATCATTTACATGTTTCCTAAGTTTTATCAAAAAAGTACAGACTGTGTAAAAGACATACCCGACTGGCCTCACAAAGTTGTACTTTTTTGTCACTGCCATCACATGCTTTGCCCCCATTATAAGGCATTGGATTTTCACATTTTCTCTTAGATATCATTACTCCCAAAGGTTTTCTATTATAATTAGTTATACACTCAGATCTACATGAGCTGTATGGAGACCATTCAGTCCAACCTCCATCTATAGGAGTGGATGTGTTGATGGAAACAGTAGTTGACTGATAAACTGATAATTTAATATTAGTCTCTTGAGATACACAACGACCCTCTCGACACAACTAAAAACAATTGATTAAAAAATGATAATAAAAACAATTTTAATACTTTTTTGTTTCCACAAGTTGTTCCTTCAAGTGCGGGATGTGCGTGATATGCAATGATATTACGTCCCGTTCCCACATCACATCTAACTAAGCGGCAAATATCTTCCAGTGCTTGCATTGGTGAATGTTTAGCGTCAGCGCCAAACCTAAGGACACACTGTTGGTCTGCGGTAAATGTCTGACCCGGAAGTTTGTCGGTCGGAATAAATTGATTGATAATATTGATATGTTGGCTCGACCCTAATATACAACTGGCCTGACTTGACCGTACAAACTTGTCCAGGTAGTCCTTACTGCATGATGACCACGTAGTTTTGCCCGCACCTAATGTCGGCGACATTACAAAGTTGTCATTATTGCATGAATTGCCGTCTTGGGTGCCGTCGTGTTCCATCCCTAAGCTATTATAAGCAATAATCTTATGTAACTTAGATTAAAAATAATATTTTATTATCTACCTGTGCCCTAAAAATAATAAAATAATAAATTTTTAATAAATAATAATTACAATTTTTATTAAAAATATATACCCATTTCATGTCCAGCAACTAAAACTGTCTGTAAAATTAAAATATATTAATAATATAAATATTAAATAATTTTCTCATTAAAAATGTATTATATTTATTATATTTTGTTTGTACTGAAGATATCTAAATATTATATATAAATAAAAATAAAACACAAAACAAAAATAAGTGAAACTAACCTGAAAACTGGTGCCTTCAGAGATGGTACAACTGTTAAGTGAATTACACATTCCGCTGACGGGCGCCAAACCCACAACATGTCTTTTCTTACGTCCCAAACCATCGATGACATACATGTTTATCCTATATAACACACATTAATGTAATCAAATACAACTTTTGACATTTAAACATAATTGTAAATAAAATGTTTTATAATAATAATATCTAATGAATGACAGACAGACCCCGATAATAGTAAGGCGTGATCCCAACGAGGAGTCACACCTCGACTGTGAAGACGCTTCTTGTGTTGCCAAACACAGAAGTTGGTCAGATAGGTGTCGATGTTGTCAGATGACGCCAAGTCCTTACAACAAATATTTTTATCATTTAAATATAAAATATTCATATTATTATAATTTAAATTCTTGTAATTTAGATAAATTTATTATTTTTTATTATAAATCTACCGGTATTTCTATTCATTTATATTATATGATAAAAAATGTTTAAAGATTAAAACTGGAAATTGTGTGAAAAATATTGTATTTAATTTGTATAAATTAAAACTTAAAGTTAGACCTACTCTGGGCTGTTGTTTAAGTATATCCATGAGAACGACTGATATATCGACATTCCTTCCGAGTGACGGCTGTTTGAAGAGCAGTTGGACGGCATTCATGATAGTCAACACATAAGTAACAATATGTTGTTCAGTATCCGTTGGAAATGTCTGTTTCATTAGTGTATAAAGTGTCTCATCTATAAAGACCGCCGTCTCTACCGTTAATTTCATGTTATCTTCGGTTTGACTTTTGGCGGAACGTCGATAACGACCATTGGTTTTGTTGTCAATATTGAGATCATTATTAAACAAATGGTTAACATTGGATTCATTGATGTGCTCTCCTAAGAGTCATAAACCATAATATTATACAATTAGATATCATTAATTCAGACATCATATTATATTGTAGACAAAAGTGTGATAATTATACCATTACTATACTCTATATAATTATAACAAGAAATATGTGATGGCGTGAAATGACTTACGTTTGTGCGGACACTCATATTCATCAAGACTTTCCTTTTTTAAGATTACGTGAGGATGTGATAAATGTGAATGACTTGGATCCACACCCATCCATGTGTTAGGCCGACTAATAACTGTTTGTGGCAATGGATTAATCACATAAACGGCTGATTTTGTTTCAATGACACCTCTCTATTAACAAATTAAAGTCAATAAACTCATTATAAAATTGTTATATATATTTACTGTATATACAAAAAAATATTAAATAAAATAATAGATTCCATTAAGTACAATGGTGCTAATTGTAACTACAATTCAATTTTTTTTTTAAATAGCTTGTCTACAATAATATCACAGTATACAGTGTAAAGATTTTTTTAGTAAATATAGAATATAATAATGAGAATATGTAGCAAATCTTTATTATAAAAAAAAATTATTTATTATTATTTTTTAACAATAAATTTTAGATATAGTATTATACAGTATAATCTTAAAGAAACAGTTTTAAAAAATTAATGATAAATTACATATAATAAATATTATAAAGTCTAATAAATTTTAATTATGAAAAATAAAATTATATTATAGTATAATTCATACCATTCCGTCACACAGGGATATAGCGGCTGAACTATTTTGATGAGAGCTGTCGTATCCCTGATAATAGCAATCAGAGCCGACATGAACTTCATTATCATCATTATCTACATTCATGTCTCTATCAATCAATTCACGTCTAATAGTAAACATTGGCGATAAAAGTCGATAATTTTTTCTTAATTTAAGTTTAAATAATTCACCAAAAGCTCGAAAGTTCACATTAATTTTGTTTGGAAGTGATTCAAATGATTTATTATATAATATATTACTTGTATTCATGTCATTGATATCATTATTGTATATTTCGCGTGTTTTTCTTGACTTTGCAAAAATAGCATATTTAGAAACACCCTTTCCTTCAAGTACCTCATATTTGGGAACTTTTTAGTAATATATTATTAAAATATAAACATATTGTAATCTTTTATTTTTTTAAAAATATAACATAAAATAATATAATATTTTACCACTATATTGATGCCCAAACAGTAGCAATCTTTCATTATCTGATAAATATGTGTGTAATGTTTGTTGTGATGAATCTTTATTTTGTTTGGTATTTATCTAAAAAAATAAAAACAAATTTTTCAATAAAACAAAACAAAGCAAAAAAATTAAAACCAAATTTAGAAACATTTAGTAAAATAAAAAACTTAAATGAATCAAAATGTTTTATTTTTATATTAAAAAGGTTTAAAAATAAAATATATTTTTATTATAATTATAAAAAAATAGTAAATCTTTATTATTTAAAGCCCTGCCTTTTATAAATCTTTAAATTATATAATCTGTATTATAATTAGCACTAATAATAAAAAACAATTATTTTAAATTTTAACAAATTAATCAATAATTTACACAACAACTATATTTTTGAGTTAAATATAACTTTAATAATAAAATCAATAATAATTTACATTATAATAAATATTTTTAGTTTATTTCAATTGAGATTAAATGCAGTCTGAAATAAAATTTTATAGTTTAAAAGAATTATCATTAGTTTAAATATATTACAGTATATTAAAACATTATATTTTATTTGGTCTTTATTTAAGTTATTACATTCAACAAAATATCGTATTTATGTTTTATATTTGTTAATAAAATAAATAATTATTATAAATAAATTTACTGTACTTTAAAATATTATTTCTAAAAAATTATAATTATAACACACAATTTATAGTAATACTAGAAATAATTTAAAAAAAAAATTAATTATATTGTATTATTTAATAAACAAATAAATCTAATACAGCATACATAAATAACATTAACAAAATATCAATTAAAGTGTTTAAATATAATTACTACTGTATTACTAAAATTACTAAATTACTAAAATTCATTAAAGAGTTAAACAGATTTTATATAATAATTTGCACTCACAGTCAGTATACTATGTTTATGACTTTATTAATTATATATATTGTATTATAGTAATACATAATACAATACAATAGCACAATTAGTAGCTCTATTATTATAAACTAAGTTATATGATACAGAAAATAAAAATATTATAAAAAATCACATATTAGACAAACTAATTAATGTAACAAACAAAATTAAATATAACAAACTAAACTATTTAAAAACAATATTATAAAAACAGCTAAAAGCTTAAACACGAGTTTAAAGATATAACTTTTTATTTATTTATTTTTTATTAGATAAACTTAATATATATAATAATAATATATTAATATATATTAAATTAATCTTCGTTAACTTTTAACATTTAATTAGATTTCAATTAGCATAGTTATATTGAATATAATAGACAGATTATACAATATATTAAAATATATTTTATGTTGTTAATAATTATATAGTTATATATATTATATAATTATATATAAAAACAATTTTATTAGTTTGCATTTATTTTCATTAAAATGTATTATTTATATTAATTATAATTTCTATTTAGATAACTGTTGATAATTATAATTTTAAAATTTTTTATTTAATTAATCTAATTATGTAACTATATAAAATACATTAATTTATGATAGTTTATATGTTTTTTATTTATATAAATCTAAGTTTACATTAATTTAAATATAATAATTATGTTCATGTTTAATAAGTGTATTTATACAGCTTATAATTTTTATTTCTTAATTTAATTTACAGAATTATAATAACAATCATGTTGTTATAATCCTATATCGTGTCAAACATACAAAAAAATTACAAATATTAATTGTTTGGCACTCATTCATAAAAAAATATATAAGTCAACAAACTTAACATTAAGTTGTGTTTTACAGATTATAGTGCGATATTTAAGAACATTTATTTTTCAATAATGTAAATTATAGAAACAAGTGAGAGAGTATATACAGTGTTTATATAGTATTTATATACATATGTGTGTGTATAAGGGAGAGAGAGAGAGAGAGAGAGAGAGAGAGAGAGAGAGTCAAGCATAAAGTCGATGACATGAACTGACATTCAAAAAGCAAATTTTACAGTTAAGGGTTAAACAAATTGTGACCAATTTTAATGGTTGCATAACTGTTGTTAACTGTGAACTTTTTGTTTTCAACAAACTATTCAATTAATTAATTAATTAATTTTATTTATAATGTTTATATAATAAGCTAATTTTAAAAGCATAACAATTTATCCAATGATGTGGTAATGACCACTAGACATATTCATTTCCCAACTATTAATGCAAATCATAAGTCCATATAACTCACTGACCCGACAAAAATTGTCATAAAATTGAATCAAAATAAAGATTATAGTATAATATGGTCGTTACGGATGAGATATCTGTGGAGTCAGTGTTGTTATAGCACAGGGCTTATACAGTAGGTGTGCAACTGTTGGGTTGATATATAATATTATAGCATTTATTAAATGCCCTTTTCATGAATAACTGTCAATGGGATACATATATCACATTTGTTATCGTATTATTTTAAAATATCTTATTATCTATCATTCAATAATTTATATAAATGCGGAAATTTTTTAATATTCTAAAAACATTTTCATTACAAATAAAATTGCGAGTGATTTTGAATTTTTTCAATTTAATTATTAAAATAATTTTTTATATAGAAATACAATATTTTAATTAATATTTTTATATAATTTTATCAAACAGAAAATTAAAAAAAATTCCTAATAATAAAATTTTATTAAATGCATACACTCACAAAGCAATTTTATTATTACATAAAAACTATTTAAAAGCAATAATAATTATTTTTAAAATTATTATTGTTTCTAATACCGTAATGTTATTAATAATGCTGTACAGTAAACTACAATATATTTATATTATATTGTATTTAAGTTTAAAAATTAACTGAAATTAAAAGAAAGTTAGATTTTTGAAACAAAAGTTCATTAGTTTTATTGTTGATTTTGCATATGATATACACAAAACCATAATTTACATTACATTTAAAAAGTTAATAAACTTTAACGTATTGTACTATTATTATTATCATCTGCTAAAATAATTTTAGTTTTTGTAAGATTTAATCAATTATTTATATAATAATACATATATTTTATGATATTCATATTTTTATGTAGATTGTAATTGTAATATTTAAAATATAAACTATGTAAAATTATAAATAATGCTATTGTTAATTTAATTAATTTTAAAAAAATAATATAACATTAAAATAGTCATTATTAATTGATTTTTGACAGACTTTTTAAAAAAATATTAAAAGTTTTGTATCAAAATATCTTAAATTGTTTAATATTTATAAATTGACATTATAAATACAATAAATATAATAAAACCACAGTTAATGTTTAAACTTACTTATATTTTGTAAAATAAATATTTGTTTTTTAAGATGAAAAATTTAATGTAGTCTAGTATTTTGTATTTTTTTATTTAAATAACCACAATAAATATATTATATATTATATAAACATATGAGTTTCAATGAGTTAAAAACTATGAACTGATTTCATTTAAAATAAAATAAATTGTATAATCAAGTATTAAGGATAAGTAATATTAATAGTGAAACCTAAATTACTGAAAAAATTTACAATTTGTAATACAATTCTCATATTTTTAAAATAAATTTGTATATAACTGCTTTGATATTATTAATTTATTTATG